AGTTCGGACTACATGTATCCCACTTGATAGACACCAGTGAGTCATCTAGCAATGATAAGAAAGGCGGCGGAACTTTTCACTGACCGATAACAACAAACCTTGTCCCCGATTGCGACCGTTAATATTTACGGGGGCTTCGCAGGGACGGTATGTCTGTAAAGAGTTTATCCGTGTATCTGTGGGACACATTTTAACCTATTCGTCCTAAAAAATGATGTGCCTCAAGTTTCACGTAAAACGCTTGCAGCTGTCCTACGAGAAGGGGATTCAGTCCTCCTAGAACCCCTTAGCACGTTGTTCATGCATTCGGCTAAACAGGTCATAATGCTAGTGATCACAACATTCCAAATGTATACGATACAACTGGGAATCCTAACCACGTTATATGTTGCAACAGAAATACACCTTAATACGACATTTCAGATGGCCCTAATTCCAGCGACTTATATCATGAGAATAATATAACTAACGGGGAGAGTTATATGAAGGGGATTTAAATATTGAAAACCGAATTATTCGGCTCCATGTGGTTTTTGCCTAGTTAACTAGTTCACTAGTTACTACCTGGTCCTAAGCCCGGAAAAAGAGAAAGGTTGGGCATAGGGCTAGCAATCATACACCGGAAAACCATTCCAACCGCTAAAGAGACTTCAGAGCACAAACAAAATATAAAAAGTAAAAATAAACTCGTCGCTCATTGAAATCAGAGGAGCGAAATGACGCCGGTTGGTGAAAGACTTCGGAAAGCCAACTGGTCGATGTGTCTCCTCTCCCGATGAAAGCGAAAGTAAGCATGGGGATATGGAACATCTGCACAAGGTTCAAAGCTGGCTAGCAAGGCTGCTCAGATTATAAGAAAGATGAGAAGTCATAGCATTAATGTGCTAGTATTCTGCGAAAGCAGGTGGAATGGAAGAGGACCTTCCAAATTGTCAACTGGGGAGTCAACAATCTACTCCGATATTGTCAACCAGATGACAGCCATGGGCGCGTTGAGTTTTGGAGTGGCTATCATGATGTCCCCAAAAGCATCGAAGGCTCTCAAACAGTGAAACCAATCTCCTCCTGCAGGATCATAGCAGCAAGGTTCAACTCAAAAGGAAGGAAAGTCACAGTCATACGCTGCCACGCTACGCTACGCACCTACAAATAATGTAGGCCAGGAAAAGAAGGAGGAATTGTACAGACAACTGCAGTCAGTATAAGACAAGGCCCCACCCAGATGTCTACATCAAAATTCTAGTGGGCTAGGCTTAGAAAGTAATTGATCGTCACGGATGCATGGAAGTAGGCTGATAGGGGGGGGAGATGGTAGAGCAGAAGATGAACCAGCGCAAGGATGAACAATGGAGAGAGGAAGTGAACACAATCTATAAAATACCACACTGGACAAAAAAGTGAAGAGTGCGCGCAAGGACAAAAGACACTTTTACGACGCACACTGGCAACTGAAGCGGAACAGGCCGCATGTAGGGGAAACCTGACAAAACTGTATCAAATAACCAGGTCACTATCCGAGGATAGATCCACCCATATGAGACCGATGAGGGATAGCGAAGGAAACTAATTTACCAAGGAGGAGAAGCAAATGAACCAATGGTCTGATCACTTCAGGAAACTCTTGAATCGACCACCGCCGCCTGCAACTCGTGCAGAAATAACACCTGCAACTACAGGGCTATCAGTGAACACAAGCTCCCCGACAAAAGTAGAAGTCCTGAACGCCATAAAGCTGATGAAATCCTAGAAAGCAGCAGGACCAGATGGAATTCCTCCAGAAGCACTGAAAACAGACACTTATACGACAGCGGGCAGGCTCACACCACTACTGCAGAAGGCTTACAAGGAATGAAGGAAAGGTACCTGCCGATTGACTAGAAGAATGGGTACCCTGTCAAACTTCCAGGGTAGAGGGACTTAAGTCCTTGCAAGAACAAGAACATGTGAGGAATTATGCTTTCATTCACACCTAGGGAAATATTAAGCCGCGTCATCCTGGAGAAACTAAACAATGCACTGGATTCAAAGTTACGATCGGAACAGGTTGGTTGGTTGACTTCAGGAAAAAAAATCATATGCGGATCGAATTGCAACGCCACTCTACACATCATCACAGAACAAAGCGTAGGATGCCGGTCAACTCTCTACCTCAACTTCGTCTACTTTGAAAAGGCCTTCGGCAGCGTCGACCGAGAAGTAATTTGGCAGGCAGCTGCTTCAACACTACGCTTCTGGTGCCATAAACCTTTATCACCCTCATTCAACAGCTATATGACGATGATACATGCCGAGTGGTTCGCAGTGCAGACCTCAGTGATACCATTGAAGAGAAGACAGGAGTAAGGCAAGGTTACCGCCTACTATCACGCATTATCTTCCTGATTGTGGTCGAGTGGACTAGATCATGCAGCAAACCGTGAGGAGCTGCGAGAAGGTGGGCATACGCTGTTTGACCGATGAAAGGACCCTAGAAGATTTGAATTTCGCCGATGATGATTTACGTTGAGTGCCTTGTCGGCGAAGCTTGAAGATCTATAGGCGAGAAATGACAAGTTGAGAGGAGCGGTGGCGAAGACGGTACTCTCTCCAGGTGAATGTAGAGGAGGCAGGGGTGATGAAGATATACAACCAACAACAACAGGCACCAGCCGCCATCAACGCTAGAAACCCAAAAGAAGCTATCTTTTTCACCTAGCTAGGCAGCATCGTTTCAACTGCATGTGTTGTAGGCACAGATGAGGATGTCAAGGCCGGAGTCGGGAAACCGACCAAGGCAGGCCTTAATTAACCTGAAATTAGTGTAGAGGTCCACTGAACCTAGCGTCAAGAACAAGATCCGGATTTTCAACACCAACCTCGAGTCAGCGCTTCTATATTGTTCAACAAACTACAGACATGAATCGACAGCCGCCTACGCTCGATACTGAAGATCAGATCACATGGCCGGATAGAAAGGCGAGTAGGAACTCTGGCTGGCTGGCAACGAGCCAATCAAGAACCCATCGTCTAACAATTGTGCAGAAGAAAGTGGAGATGGATTGGATTGGGCATTCACTGAAGAGACCATTCAGAGACATCACGCGTCAGACCAGGCACTCGAGTGGAACCAGCGTGGGAAACGGCGAGTTGGGCTCCCGAGTAGAAGGCGACATGGAGGAGATGGTGCGAGGGGGAAATGAAAGTTTCTGGCCAGCCGTTAAGCCGGGCCGAAAAGACTTCAGAGATGAGAGTGAAGTGGAGATGCGCCACTGAAGCCCTATGTTCCACTAGGAACCCTAGGGACAAATAATGATACAATATAGTTGATGTGTGAGTTTTGTCCCAAGACAACGCCAGGACTTGGAAGCTGGGCTGTCGTGGATGCACACTTGACTCAAGGTGCGACTGCAAATACCTTCACATCTACATGGCGCCTCAAACGTTGCTGATCTGTCAGTGGAAGAAGGAGCATTTGAAGACTGCGGAGGATGCATTCATGCAACGATCGGATTCAAAAGTTCAAACACAATTCAAACAAGGAAAAACAAAAATTTGCAATGTCACTGTCAAACAGGAAATTTAAATAACATGCAGTCCTAATGGGTTCATGTCAGCTCTATTTTCATGGGCGATTACCAGGGCGACTAATCGCACTGCAGACCTATGGCTCCCCTATCTACTCTGCCGAAATGGATGAAGTCTCTAATCGTAGACAATGCAGACAAGTATATGATATCAGTTAACTTCTTTGCATCCCACCCGCATGATCTGAAGAACGAACCTCAGTGGATAGCTGAACTCTCCTACCTGGTCACGGTAGTAAAACAGATGGGATACACCTCAACGTTTGTAAGTTCGCTGACCATGTCAACCGCACCTGTTCCACTGGTCAGTTGAAGCCGCTTAAAATGGATTCATCACAAATAGACTGACCGGTACCGCTTTAAGCCACTAGTTCTTTAAGGGCTAGGTGACTTATACCATGTTCGAAGAGGTAAAGTGCTTCCATGCGATCCGCAATGCTTCGGTTTTGAAACCTTTCCTGTTTCTGGTTTACACAAACTTTCAACTCTTCAGGTGCCTTCCATCATACTTCTTTTTGCTTATGTCCAGATGTGACTGGAAATCAGAGGAGAAAGAGGTAAGATCACTTTTCAAAGTGTTTGACCTAAGTTCGGCATTCAGTCAACTACAATGGACCAAATTTTAATTCCGACAAATATCAGCTGATTCATCTTCGGCAAGATATTGATCACACATCCAAACCCAATGACACAGAGCTGACGACGTTCGTAGTAGAAAAGGATTCCGTGGTCCTAGTTTCCCGTGAGTATAGCCACAGGCTGATCATGAAGAAAATGCATTTCTCGGCAGCCTGGCACTTATCTTCCGGTAAGTCTTCCAAAGTTCATTGCAAACTGCTTCTTCCAAATTTTAAACAGATTCATACGATCTCACCTAAAATTGGTGACTGTACTGCCTGTTTATTCATCTCAGAGATAAAAGCCATTTCGAACGTATCCGGTGGCGCTGTAACATATCAGTCCGTGGACTGAGGTTCAAAACATACTAGGAATGCATGGTAGCACTTGATCTATGTCCTGCATACCATGGATAACAGAGGTGAACTACTATTGAAGTTCAACATTTTGAATATTTCAGATCACTTGCTTTGCTAAGCACGAATACTAATCTTAGGTGGATAACCTATGTTAGGACTTGAACACGGTTGAGCAGACAGGCAGGACGTTTAATTTCTAAAAGTAGACTAAAAACACAAAATTTATGCTTTCCTTATTGCATGCCACTCCATTGTAAGTCATCAAGTGAAAACATGCAAATCTAACTACTGTTCGCTACAATGTTGCTGTTTGTTGGAAGACTGCATACCTAGTGACCTTGAGCGTTTGAGGTATGTCCAACTATTTCTTGAATTTGCTTATTCATCAGAATGAATCACTTTGGTTCCATTAGTTCCGCTCAAACATATTTAATATAGGTCGGATTTAATTACGATAGTAATGGACAGAGATACTATCCTTGAAAACTTCCTGGTAGGTCGAATTGAACAATTTTAACATGTTCCGTTAACACATATGTTCACTTATCTATAATTTTCTGCGGTAGGCGTGCACTGGAATAACGGATATAACATATGGTATATCGGTACTAGAAGAACATGACTGGGATCTGACTGCTGCTGCTTCCAGCATTATTGACCAGGGGATATCAGGTAACTGCAAATTTAAACATATCTCGTCTGTCCTATCTGCTTTTTATTTTAAAATCGTCAACAAGACTTGGTTTCTTAGTATGACAGCTCATAACTTTCAGTACTTTGTCCAAGCATTTTACTATTTAATAAGTAGTCCGCCAAAAAAATAAAACGACCTGCAGGTCATGATACATAAGCACGGTAACTAAATAAATTAGAAAAGGCGTACAACGAATATAATGCTTTTAGTCAACTGTAGTAAACCATTTTAAAATAATCGTTTCTGGAGAATAAAGACTAGTACTACTGACTGCGGATTTTGCATTGAGAAACTGGAGTTCTTATCGTGATCTGACAAGATGTCCGTAAGCCTACTCACCAATAGGCACCTTGTTCTATAACTGATAATCTTCGAATCGTATAAGTCAGAACTGAACTTTTGTGCAACGTTTTCCAGCCAGGGAAGGAATTAACTACTACTCAGGAAAGTTATGCAGTATACAGATCTTCGCTGAAACATTGATGCTTCCTTCCACTCCTTTCTTTTCACACTATTCAGGGGGTAACCCCCTAAGACTTTCACTGAGGCTTAAAAGTGTTCCGTAAAGATGCCTAGGGTTATAAGCTGTAAGTTACTCAGTAGTTATCCTTTCCTGTCATTGTGATGATATTACGTAAACTTGTATACATAGTTTCTTCAACGTGTCTGGTTTCGTTTTCTAGATATGAATTTTGTATGGAAACTGTAAAATTAGATAGCGTACAAGATAACCTCGTCAAATTATATGAAAGGTTTTCGCCAAAACTAAAACAGTATGATAGTATTTATACTGCTTAGTTTAAAACTGGACTACGCAACTGCTCTGTACAAAAATTTGATTTGTTATTTAGATTTTGAATCATGCTATCTAGTACTTCATGAGTGCCACTAGAGAAGCTGTAGTTATCGGGCACTTTTTAAGTTTGCTTTTGGTGGTCTCAGCGGCATATAAGTAAATTGTTTCCCGTCATCTGTTGTATTTAACCATCGTGATATCTGGGGCAAAAAGCCACCACTACAAGCAATGATTGCACAGTGCCTCAGTTCACAACCACCTTTAATAACCATGTTTCACACCTGTATAGGACAGAATAAGCCGCAGTGCAGTACACCGAAACCTAAGTGGACAATTACGACAGTGCCCACCAAGTTTGATGTGACTTCCTAAGCAAGTGAAGCGGTCAACATGCCTAACCACTTTACACCAAATTGGCATCAATGCAAGCCACAGTATGCATTTGGGAAATAACAAACGCATTTCAGACATTTTCAGATTGTCACTCAATATCCAGAAGATTGAATCTTGTCATTGTGTTTACCTAATAGGACTGTGTCGTCTGCGTACTCTGGATCAATCCATATAAAGTGAGACGACGTAAGGTGCACCTGCATAAGTACGTCTATGACAAAACAATGAGGATGAAGAGTGAAAATCTTTGATGGACCACCACTTTGCGTACACCATCTCATAACTCACCGCTGGTTCTAACGCATACGAAGGTTTGATTACAGAGCTTTCAACAGAGTTACGCACTCACTTAGCACGCGTTTTAGCGAGAGACATTGCCATAAAACCTCTCGATCGACAAAGTCGAATGCCATCTTCAGGTCAAGAAATACAACTACAGAAGGGTATGTATGTGTTCCAGAACCTGATGTGGTATGAATATGTGGTCAGTACACCCAAGATCAGATCTGGAATCTTCCTGGTTTTCTCGGTTCGCTCTTTACAAGCTTCACTCAGGTGTCTGATAACTATAGAGAACCTCGAATCTTCGACACTTCGTCAACCTGATTCCTCTGTGGTTATCACAAGTGTTTATCCATGTTCTTGAAGACTTGGATAAGTAGTGATTGAGACCGGTCAGAGTGGATCATATCTGATTCCCGTATGCCAACTAACACTAGTTAATCTAAGCAGTATTCCTCGATTACCGTCCTTCAAATCCTACGGCACTATTTCTTCCAGATTCACTGTCTCTTGTCTCATGCTGCTCACAGCCTTTTCGACTTCTGCAAAAATTAGACGCCCTTTTTCAATGTTTTATTCAGGATGCAACTAAAAAGCAGAAAACTGGGAAGTGACTATGGAGCAGTTGAACCGTTCCTCGAGTTGTTCTGTCCACCGTTTCAGTCGGCTCCTCTGCAAGCGGATACTGTCCACCACTCTCCGCTGTAGTCATACTGACCACTTACTTTTTCATCCCAGTTTCCTTGATCAGTTTGACTGACCGTTTACTGTTACCTACCACCTCTGTTTTTCCTATCTTCAACCTACATTCCCTCCTTACCGACTGTTCGCAGATATTGCTTAGGCTTCTTGCGAATCTACTTCTGAGTTGCTTCCACTATTGATTTTGCTTGGATCCTGTGGAAATGTGTTACTGGGTGTGCAATAACTCAGAAAAAGCTTCCGACATCAACTGACCTTTCATACATCTGAGTGTAAGTTGCAGTCTTTCATACCTCTTTTTTACACGAGATTTACGTTGACACCAGACTTTTTTCGGATGAGCATTATTGTCCCCTCTCAATGATTGTCTAACCAGTTTCTTACAAAAAGCATCCTTAGCATTCTCGTCAACAAGCAGCACTCTCAATAGTCTTGTTGCTGCAGTTTTCCCATCTCTAAGCGCAAAGATATGCGTGCTTGAACCAGCAGCCGACCACTGTCCAGACGCATACTATAGGAGAGATGGCAGTTTTCCACCAACCCTATCCAGCGACAACTGATGGCAATGTGGACTATCTGTGTCGACTGCAGAGTTAAGTTCGGTGGACACCACTTCAAATAACGTCTCTCTTTATTTATGAAATTCGCGCTGGTTCGAAATAGATATTTGTATCAGCAAGTGATCGCTGTTATCTGTTCATCTGGCTAGGATTCCGAAAGTGATACCTTAGTACCTTTCTGCTTGATATAGAGTACTCATTTGTACATTGAGATCACCTGCTACGATAACCACATCTGAAGATTCAGCTTCCAATAGGAGACTAGACAGTTTTCGGGAGATCTATCTTTGTCTTCATCGGAACTGCAGTTAGTAGGAGGATAAGCAAAGATGACAGAGAGACAATGGCGAGTTTCACGATTGCTTTTAGACCTCCGTTTACCGTTCAGCTGAACAGCGCACAGGTGACTGTCAACTTGGATCCAGTTAAGAAGTGCTCTTCCTACAGTAAGACTAAATCATATTCGTCAACTTACGAGGTAACTAGAATTAGCCATTGAATCTCCAGAAACCTGAAGGGTGAGTTTTCCAGACTGACCATATTGGTCGGGTGAGTGTAAGTGAATAACCGTGCTTGGGTCCTGTATGCGTGTTTCACAACGTGGTTGTTTTTAGCAGTATACATAATCCTAACCAAAAGCTACCTGCTATTGACCAGCTAGCTGAATTGGTCGAAACAGTTTATCTTAATATTTAGTTTGACTCAACCTGTCTCAACAATGAAATTACGTTGCTTAGAGGTAGTTATTTCGGGGAAAATCGATAGCTGCTACCTTGACGTGGTGGTTAAGCTTGTATATCACAATAACCCATCGAGCTATGCTGATAGAACGCTTGCTCCCTCGAGATCCTACCAAGCCAGAAAGGTCTGTTGGATAGTAGTAAAATTAAAAGCAGTTACCGCTGTAGTGTAAATTACTACATTATGATGGTGGTCTGAGGAGGAAGTTGTACTGCTGGCTGATGGGGTTTGACCGCAGTGCCGCACGGATGCTGCCTTCCCTTTGGGAACGAGAAGTTAGAAAAGATCGTCCCCAAAATAGCACACCACTCCCTGCCACACAGTCTTCTGGTGTCGGCAGTATGGGTTCTCTCTATCCGATATTAAAATAACCAAGCCTCAAGACAACATTCTTCAAAAGGCCGCATGACAGGCCTCAAGCAGATTTCGCATGAGCTCTGCGGTCTAACAAGTCTCTTTCAAGTACATGAAAAGAAATCAAAAATAACATATCGCTCTCATCTCAGTCTCCTCATTTGCATTCACCTCTTGATACTAATATTAAGCCCCGTACACCTTCCCCAGCCTCTCATTCTGCGACCATTGCCAACGATCAAGGCCATCGAAACCTCATTTTTAACCTCTAAAAAGGCACCACCATGGGTTTCACGTAGGAGCTTCTGACGTCCGAATTCTATGAGAAGTCGAACAGCAAGCATCACTCGCTAGAACTCTGAAATCGCTAGCCATTGATATATTCTGTGTCCGTGATACACGTATACAGGATCCAAGTGTGGTTATTTAGTTGATTTCACCTGACTATGGTAGTGAATCTGAATCTTCAAAATTCACCTTACGATTATCAGGAGACCCTATGGTCGGCTCACGTGGACTTGCTGGTGTATCCATAGCATTGAGATGTAAGGCAGGAAATGCACTTCCCTTCTGGATACCAGTCGACAGCCGTTTACGCGCTGTTCGACTGAATGAATCTGTAAGAACTAGGAAGTATCGTGGGATCACCTGTTGCCTATTTGTAATCTGCGCCTAGACACCCACCAACTGCATTTCTGATGATGAATTCTTTGGAAAGCTGTCACATTTGCTACAGAAAGCAAAACGTTCAGATGTCATAACAACAGGTGACTTTAACCCTCAATTAAGGAAGCTGAGCCAATCGGAAAAATAATTTTAGGTGCATTTAGGAAATTCCATGCCAACAACACTGATCATTTCTTGCAATTTTGTTCCGACAATCACTTGTCTTTGGTCTAAGTAGAGACACTGTCGCACATGGAATCCACCGACTTTAAACCAACGATAAACACAGATAGATCACCAGGCAGGTCTTAGACATAGACAAGGGTGCATAGATCGTACTTCCACCCTCCGACAGGTTATGGAATACAGGGGTACCTACCGACAACTACCAACACTCGGCATATTTGTTGACTTAACGGTGGCATTTGACCCTGTCGACCGTGAGGTGTTGTGGTAGTGTCTGACTATGATGGGAAATTACTGAGTAAGTAAAAGACGCTTATCAAAGCTCCCTACTGAAATTCACGCAGCCGTGTAAGGGCATATGAAGAGTCGTCATCCGAATCGATGATAACTAGTGGTGTCTGCCAGAGATGTCCACTATCAGCGTTCCTATTTAACGTTGTCCATAGACTTACTAATGGACATAACCTTAGGTACCTCGGACCTCAGAGGGAGTGACCTACTCCCTGGATGTTATCTGTTTGACTTGCGGTATGCAGACGATCTTGTCCTGCCAGGTGAAGGTGCTGACAAGATGCAGGGTCCTCTGAACGCGTTTGAGCAGAAATCTGAGTATAGTTGGTGTGCGTTCCTCATGTGTCAAATGTAAGATGATGCTCCAGGACTGGTTTGCTGTGAAGTGGTGGAATGTGTCGACCACTTAACTAACTTACGGAGTTGCATTGGCCCGAACGGGCTTGTTGCTGATGAAATCTCACCTCGTTTACAGAAGGCTCGTTTAGCATTTGCTAAGTTGCATCATCTGTGTCGCCAACTGGCGAGATATCCGACTATCTATGAAAAGATGATTACACTGATCGGTGGCTCATTCTTTCCTATTATGCGGCTGTTAGAGGCTGTCACTGAAAGCAGAAAATATGAAGCGTTTACCGGTGTTTGATTATAAGTGTCTTCGTAGCATTGCTTACGTATGGTGGAATCAGCGTATGAACAATGTTGAGGTCAGTCAAAAGGTACTAGGCAGGACAGGAGAGTCGACTGACGAGGTTGTAAAGCTTAGTCGATTGAGATGGCTTGGACATGTACTACCCATAATCAACCACCGTTTATCTGGACGTGACAAGCTAGGGGAAATCGCACTAGTTTCGAAAAGGATTCACTGTGTCCTGACCAAGACCTGACACCAGTCTAGTCTCTAACTGTTGGTCTGAGTTGTGTGAGGATATGTAGACTGTTTCGTTAGGTCCCCGAGACGATAGGAATCAGTGGTTGAGGAGCCTTGGTAACGGCTGAAAATCGGTCACAATGTATGGGGGCTGCAGATATATTCATAATTGGACGTCTTCTGAAGCTCTATATTTGCACTAATCTTTGTCTTCAGATTGTTTATTCTCTCACACAACTTTATCTTCGTTGATATCACTTCTTTTACTCTACCTATTCTTTTTGTACTACTGTGAAGTGTGGCAACTTGAGCTGACATACCTGTGTGTAAGGTTCTACGTTGATTTTGTCTGTGTCTTTTTTGAATTTAATACAAAAGCAACATAACGTTTTATGTAAAGTTCGTTTCACGTGAAATCAGTTACTTTATCTGTTATCTAGTAAATATTATGCCCTTGTGATGACTGTCGTTTCTCAGTAGACACGAAACTTCTGTTTATGGAAGTAATGCACTATAATCACGTGTAAACTTCAAGTGGATTTTGTTTATTAATCAAAAGATTATATATATATATATATATATATATATATATATATATATATATATATATATATATATATATATATATATATATATATATATATATATATATCTGAAGAAAAATATATTCGATCACTGTTAACTGTGAGCAAATAACGTATATTTGCCTACTCAGTTATATTTTGTAAAGTACTTTTATAAATTATATACTTTCAACAAATGCAGTCACTTTTCTTTACTAACAGGTGCATCGTTTGTCCAAGAAGATCAGTCTTTCCCATGCTCTGCTGTCTATTCTGTAGCACCACCACTAGGACCACTTTTGAATCCTGAATCATCAGTGAACTATGTCTCAGGCACCCAGAATGTTTCCGTATCCACTATGTGTGGTTTCGAAACCGATTTTTCCGGCAATAATATGTCACCTACAGTTTCTAGGTCAGTTGTCGAAAGAGACAATGATCAAACTAACCTTTTTGGACCGGTTCGTATCTTAAATTTCGAAATAGAATTGGAATTACCTTTGGAAGAATCAGATAATGAACCAAAAGTTATTACAGAAAGCTTTCCTTTTCCTGATACCGAGACAGTCACTTTTTTGAAACGACATTTTATTGACTGCCGACTAGCTGAACTCATTCAGTTGGCTACCAGTCCGGATTTAGAATCAAAAATAACTGAGTACACCAAAACCAATCTCTTAAAGCATTTAGTTTTGGAGAGCTCTGGATCACATTCATTCTCTGATAATTCAGTAAGTTATTTTATAATTTCATAAATCTCATCATAATTAGCCAACTATTATAATAGTTTAAGTTAGAAAGGTTAAAAACGATTTTAGCTGTTTTTAGTTTCACATGAGTATGAACAATAATATTCTGATGATCTCATTATGACTTCTTTAAGAGTTAAGTTTGCGGATCACAGGATCACAAGTTAATAGATCGTATGGTAAGCAAAATATTGAACTAATGTCTAGTTAACTGTACATTAAAGTGGCTAACCATATGGGATACTTAACTCATGACTCTAATAGTATTGACCCACTGTGATCAGGCAACTATCATTATCAAAGCTCAAATTAATGAATATCTGAAGACTGAAGTTGCTGTCAACTGATTATGTATGTGTACTCAGTAACTAACTGGCGAAGAATAGCAGTTGCTCATGTAAAATGGTGTGACTTGGACAACATAATTGTTAAGAATATATTAAACAGTAAATAAGGTAGTCAAGATTAATAGAAAGATTCGTAAATCTCTATCAAAAGATAACGGGATCAATTTCAGCTCCGATAAACATTATTATTATTATTATTATTTGTCCTTTGGGTTCCTAGTGGAACATAGGGCTTCAGTAGCACATCTCCATTCCACTCTATTCTCTGCAATCTTTTGAACCTGGCTCCACCACTGCCCACAAGCCCTCATTTCTTCCTCACACCATCTCCTCCATATCACCCTCACCTTGGACACCCAACTTGTCGTTTCCCATCTGGGTTCCACTCCATAGCCTGGCGCGTAATGTCCCGGAATGGTCTTCTCAGTGTATGCCCAATCCATCTCCACTTCCTTCTCTACATTTGTTGAGGGATATGTTGCTGGTTGGTTCATTGCCACAGTGAGTTCCTTGTTGCTTATTCTTTCTGGCCATCTGAGCTTCAGTAACTAGCGTAGCACGTAACACGTATCCACTTATTGTTTAACTTGTATTTTTTTATATGAGACAAAATCACAATAAGTTTCTCTATGGTCATTATACCATATCTGAGCGTTAATTTATCATCACATGTAGAAAATATTTCTAGTGATATCATATTTTAATCCAATTAACTCCTTTTTAAAAGTTTACAAAATATACTTTCTGTTGGTGGGACAGTATTTCGATGGTTATAAATAGTGAAAATTTGCTGCAAAGTGTTAAGACTCATGAATTTATTCATACTATTCGAATATTTCTGTTTCTTCAAGATTTTATGCATCATTACTAACAACTTGATAGATAGCGCTTGGACAAACAAAAAGCTTTAGGTCAGGTTGTTACAAATCGTTGAATGAATTCCTAATATTTGATGAGCTTTCAAGTTGAAATATGCTTTAAACCCACTCAACAGTCTATCATCGTAACGAACTATGCTTATTCTTGACAATCATTGGTTTAAAGATGAACTGAAAATTACGTCGTCATTGTCCTATACATTATTATTATTATTACTAGTCCCTCGGGTTCCTAATGGAACATAGGGCCTCAGTAGCACGTCTCCAGTGAACTCTGTTCTCTGAAATCTTTTGAACCTGGCTCCACGACACCCCAGAAGCTTTCATTTCCTCCTCGCACGATCTCCTCCATGTCACCCTCGGACGTCCAACTCATCGCTTCCCATGGGGGTTCCACTCGAGGGCCTGGCCTGACGCGTGATGTCCCCAGTCAGCCTTCTCAGTGTATGCCCAATCCATCTCCACTTCCCTCCACTGCATATTTGTTGGGTGATAGGTTCTTGGTTGGCTCGTTAGCCGGCCAGAGCTCCTTGTTGCTTATTCTTTCTGGCTATGCCATCTTATCTTCAGTAGCGAGCCAGCGTAGGTGGCAGTTGTTGATGAATGTCTGTAGTTTATTTGAAGTCCTTTTCGTGACGGACCAAGTCTCTCAACCATACAGAAGCACTGACTTGACTGAATTGGTGTTGAAAATCCTGATGTTGTTCCACATGCTGAGTGGAGTGCAGAAGATCTCCACACTGGTTTCAGGCTAATGAAAGCCTATCTTGCTTTTCCTATTCTGACTTTGACAACCTCGTCTGTGTCTGTGGCGCCTGTAGTTGAAACAGTGCTTCCTAGATAGGTGAAGGAGGTTACTTTTTTTAAGTTTCTCCCGTTGATGGTGATTGGAGTTTGTTGTTGTTGGTTGGGTATCTTCATCACCTCCACCTCTGTCTTCTCTATATTCACCTGAAGTCCTGTCTTCGCTGCCCTGCCTCACCTCTCTGCCAACTTGTTAGTTTTCGCCTGTAGATCTTCAAGTTTGTGTGACATCAGGCACAAGTCATTGGTGGTGAAATCCAGATGTTCTAGGTTCTTTTCCGAGGTCCAGTCAGCGTATCCCCCTCTTCTCACAGCTCCCCACTGTTTGCTGCATGATCCAGTCCACCACAATCAGGAATATCATGGGGGATAGTAGGAACCTTGTTTCACTCCTGTCTTCACTTCCACTCCAAAGGCATCACTGAGCTTAGCTTCCCATTGTGAATTACTTGGCATATGGCGTCTTCATATACTTGTTGAATGAGGCTGATAAAGGTTTGCGGTATTCCGCAGTGTTGAAGCAATTTCTAAATTGCCTCTCAGTCGACTATGTCAAAGGTCTTCTCAAAGTCGATAAAGTTGAGGTAGAGAGTTGACCTATGCATTCCTTGACTATTATTCTGAGTCATCTAGGTAAACGTAGATTATTATTGTACAACGACTTCAGATTATTATCAGCAACACAGAAATAAGTTTCAATAATTGATCTGATAAATTGAATATACCATCCTGTGGTAATCATCTATCAGTGTGAATTACTCCATCCGTAACAACATTTGTGATGTCTTTTTCGATAATGAATGGAAGTTTCACTCTTCTAAGAAATCATTAGAAAATTTCAAAACTATAATTCGATATACACTGGTTTAAAACAACATAATTGAATTGTCATGATTGGGGTATTAAGTTAACAGAAAAGTCTGTTTCTTTTTTATCTGGACATCTAAATATCGATCATCATCTTACTGCTAGAAGCTCACTACACTTAAAACTTAATCAGATCTTAGGACATCATATAACACGAGTGGCTTATAATATACCAACACTTAATGGATTATATAGTTACGTTGTTACTTTTGTTCACTAAGTGGATGACAGGAGATTGAATGTCAAAGTAGTGACTGACTGACAAAATCAACGTAGAACCTTACACACAGGTATATCAGCTCAAGTTGCCACACTTCACAGTAGTACAAAAAGAATAGGTGGAGTAAAAGAAGTGATATCAACGAAGATCAAGTTGTATGAGAGAATAAACAATTGAAGACAAAGATTAATACAAATATAGAGCTTCAGAAGACGTCCAATTATGAATATATCTGCAGCCCCCACACATTGTGACCGATTTTCAGCCGTTACCAAGGCTCCTCAACCACTGATTCCTATCGTCTCGGGGACCTAACGAAACAGTCTACATATCCTCACACAACTCAGACCAACAGTTAGAGACTAGACTGGTGTCAGGTCTTGGTCAGGACACAGTGAATCCTTTTCGAAACTAGTGCGATTTCCCCTAGCTTGTCACGTCCAGATAAACGGTGGTTGATTATGGGTAGTACATGTCCAAGCCCTCTCAATCGACTAAGCTTTACAACCTCACCAATCGATCTGCTTGTCTAGTTAAAGTGATAGTGGTTCACAGTTTATAAAACATGAAGGCTTACTGTAAACGACTTTGTATTAGTTTTTTATTCAACTGAAACTTCTGGTCTGAATTCTTCTTTTCGTGTAGTTTATTTTAATGAATGAATTATTAGTATTATTTTGTCGAAAGCTGGAAAGGATTTGGTGCAGTGGGGCATCACACAGTGCTCGCAGTAAGTATATGATGATGATGATGTGAAGATATGAAGTAAAGACGATAATTTGTTGTGGCTATGGCAAAGATACTAATATGAATTAAAATGACAAAAGAACCAGTCTAACTAGAAACAGAACGTAAGCAGAACCTTTTTTGTTTTGGGTACTATACCTATCGTCTATATAACTGATGGGAAACTCTTGTACAGTCATCACTGGTTTCAGGTTTGAACCATATTTGATAACTGAAACTACTGAGTTTCGTGATCTTTTGGAAATCCTGTAAACAGTTGCGATGCAGCAACGGTCGCGAACCCTAGATAATTATGCTTTGTGCCATGGTATTATATCGCACTTATCCATTTCTTTTGCCTTTCATATTACGTCTGATTTCATGGTTTCATCGAAAGTGATCAAGATTAGTATATTTTTCTCTGTTTTCGCTAAACTTTCAAAGATATCCAGTGGAACTCACATTTACTTAAACATTGCATTTTCTAATAGTTCGCCACCGAGAAAAAGCTTAAGCAAATACTTTTGTCATTCTTGCGAAGTGCATACTGTACATAAAAATCATAATTGCTGATTAATTGCTGATAAGATTTTCTAAATGTTAATGAACATCATAGAAATACTCTACTCTAACAAACATTCCCATAACAGTCCTATTTACTTAACTAAATTCAGCTGAAATACCGCAAAGTATAACGATTGTTGGTACTCAGTAAATCTATGATCTTCAAAAAGAAATAATAAACCGTTGATGTATCAGCAGTCTGCATCCAAATGTATGAAGTCTCTGACTGTTGGTTTAAGCCATGTAGGACGATGCAGACTAGGTGGTTGGGGTCGGCGGGACAGGAGGAACCAGTAGTTGGAGACCCTAGGTGATATGGCTCAGAACCGAAGTCAGTGGCGCAGATGTATACACACATTATCCTCATCTTAACGAGGGTATACCGAATCTCACTATTTTTTCACTCCTCTTTCCTTTCTTCTCATACTTTATATTTCTTTTGACTGCATTCACTTATCTTCCTCCTTCACCTCACTACCTTTTTACTTGATGTGCTGATATGAGGTGTGGCAAGTTGGACCGTTATGCAGTAATGCCTGGTCCTATGTTGATAATGATGATGATGATGAGTCTGCATCCAATCAAGTTTATTCAATATGAATTGGTTGTACACTCATTTCTCATAGTCTATGAGGTATGATGGAAGTCATTGTGGATGTCAAAACTGGTGATAGACTTTTACCCCTATAATTTTCACATGTAAAGCTTTTTTTAAAGATAAATACAGTAATGAATTCATTCCAGAGTTATAGGATACTGTCAGTCTCCCATACATTTCTGAAAAAAACTAGTTAGTTTGCTGATTAAACCATCATCTCCATCCTTAAAAGATCAGGAGGTTATTTGTTTGGGCCAAGTGTTTTTTGACATTTGAAACATGGAGATCTTTATACACCTGTTCGTCGTCAGGTTGGTCAACGAGGGACAGAGAAGCAATATAAAGATTTCTGAAGTGGAATACCAACCATATGAACTATCTCACTGACATCTAATCTCTTGCTGCCAGTAGTTTGTATGATAAAACAGTAACTGGTTCTCTTATCTTGTTGATATCATGTGATCACTGTACATTGCACTTCTTCACTAAGCGTTTTGTAGCTTTTCATATCAACAACTTGCAGACTTTATTATCCCTGCTTTCCACTGAAAAATTTACTGGATCTGTGGATGCCCAGGTTTTGCTGATGAAATATGCTTCTAGGTCATAAGCGACCAAGCAGGTCTTGATTTAGCTATGTTTCTATAATGAACAATTCCGACTACGTCCACAAAGTTAGTGGGCATATAGAAACAGGGTCATATAAGGAAATAAAGAAATCAGTAGATACTATTATGAATAAGGTTAAAAAATCCACTGGGGATCTGATACGCCGAATGAAGCCGTTTCTAGGTGAGTCGAAATGGCTTAAGTTAGTGCCGAAAACTAATAATCCCAGTAGAATAATGTATGGTACTACTAAGATTCACAAGCCAGTTTATCGCATCAGGCCTATAGTAGATTTTAGAAGCACTCCAACTTACGAATTGTCTAAATATTTAGCAATGGTATTAGGTCCGATAAGAAATTACTCAAAATCTCGACTTACCTACTCATATGACTTAAAGCACAAATTAGATGACAATGAAAAAATAAGTTTTGACATAACTAGCTTTTACACAAATATACCGATCAACATAGCTCTAGAGGCAGTTAGAAATGGGCTTAAGGTTGACAATGAGCTTATGCATCGAACTAAGGTGCCGATCGAGGAAATCATGTTAGGAGTACGATTGTGCCTGACATCTACACTTTTTAAGTTTCAGAATAAAATATATAAACAAACTGAAGGTGTTGCCGTGGGATCACCAATATCCCCTATCATCACAGACATATTTATGGATAGTTGGGAAGAGATGGATGTTCAAACATTTAGTCCTACTGCAAAGATATGGTTCAGATATGTAGATGATACGTTTACAGCACTGAAATTGGATGACATCAACAGGTTCTTGACGCATATAAATTCAGCAGTGACTACAATTTACTTCGCATGTGACTTAGTAAGTGATGAAAGTTAGCTAGCAATGTTGGATCTCAAGCGAACACAAAACGGAAGTTTAGAGACTAGTGTCTATAGGAAACCTACCCATTCGAAACAGTACTTAAACTTCGAATCCTCCCACCGCATCTCAGTTAAAGTAGGCTTAGTTAAATGCATAAGAGAGAAGCTTGGCTGTAGCTCTGCACGCAGTTACACACAATCACACAGTAGTGTGGGATAGAGCGACAGCGTTAAAAACTAGCTTAGTTGGGTGGATGGAGAGAGAGGTTGATAACTGGGTCCTTGTTCATCGAATCAGCAAACACCAAATGTATGCAGTAATAGAAATGATTCTGCACCTGTCCTAGATATATGAGAAATTCTACTTCCCTTGTATCATCTCACAGAGAAGGAGGAAAAAATTAGGATTATACAAACTCTGTCTGGAAGTTGTGGAGCTACCTGATATGAATGTGGCGAATAGATTGTGTCCGAAACGATGTTATCCAGTAAATGATACTGTTCCTTTACTGTGTGGTACACCTAATAAACAGACTAAAATGGAATTACAATGTGCCACAATGCCCAAATTTTACACCTATATTGGTGTTCAAAATGTTTCGAAGGAAATGATTTTTAGAAAAAAACTGATTGAGTGAAGAAATATATTCCTTATCAATTAGGTCTTCATAATGGGCTCTACACTAATATGCATAGTCGTCTTACAATTTAATCAAATTACCAATCATGTGGTGATATTTCGGAAATAATGATGTAAATAATTAATAGGATTACTAAAATTGGTAATGTGAATACTGATAGAAAGAAGGGGAAGGGGAAGAGGTGTACAAAGTAAACCTAGAAGTTACATCATGTTGACGGCCACGGTAATGAAAGTGGTGGAACAAACTTCGTTTGAATACAAAGGTTAGGTTTGTTTGTAAAGGTGAATTGCAATCGTCTCTGTTATGTGAAGTAACCGAGCACTTAATCCATGAGGTAAATGAATTGGAATGTGATGGATGATTTTGAAGGTTTTTTCCAGTAACCACTTGATGTGCTGTGTCAACTAAGTGTGCAAGTATGGAGCTCCTTATATAGTTCTAATTTATCCCTTGTTCAACCCTGACGGGTAGTGCTCGGAAATTGGACAATAGAGCTGCCTCATTGTACGCCCAATGTAATCTCACTCTTTTTTGACGTCGTTTGGCGTATCTCTTTTATCCAATTAGTGGGCAGCAGCCGGAGGAAGCTATGTTTACTGAAGGATACCCTGAGCGTGCTCTTGTATTATTCCAACATCTTGTTAAAAGGAGTATGAGAGCCTGTACTTTTTGGCGAAAATTGTTTTTATCTAAAGATTTCAACTGTTGCCCTTTTTTTTGCTGTTGTAACCACCAGCAATTTAAGTGCTAGTAGTCTTTTCATTCAAGGATGACATCTATCAAGTCTAAACTCTACTAGGTGTCACCTGTTTGTTTGTTATGTAGACTTTTAAATCGCAGTTAAAAAAACGATGCTGTAAAAAACTGCTTGGTATGACAGCCTAGGTGAATGTGAAATTAGTATGTCGCTATGTGGGGGGAATACTTTCGTGTTTACAATGCTGCTTCATTACTGGTTTCTTTTCTTTTCATCCTTTTTTGAAGAGTTTTAAGCGAGTTTAACCACTATCCCTTCAAAGACTCACTTCTGTTGGATAGCTTTAGGTAATTAATGAGAAACAGTTAGGTTTTGCACTGGTAGCTTTAATCTACGTAAAAAACTGAGGATATATTTCGGTAACACTCGACAGGTGCACACGTTGAGTTCTAAAAATGCTTGGAGTTGTAAGGAGATGAAAATATCTAGCCTTTATAAAGTAAAGTATGTACGCTTCCTGTTAACCGACAGTGCAAACTATTGAATTATTGTTTGGCAGACAAACTGTGAGATATGAACGATACAATATTCATTTATTAGTTTTTCTGTATTTTGTTTCTTGTCAGTTGATTTTTTTGTTCAAAATTTCTACTTTTTCTCCTTCAGGCAGTCTTACGTTCATTGCATCTACCCAAATGCGTTAAACTTCGGGCTAAACTCAGTCCAAATCCTTTACCAGATTCGTAAGTATATTATACAATATGCATATCTTTCTCCATTGCCTAAAGATATACTTCGTACATTGTTTTTCCAGAAAGAAATAACCTATGACATTTAATAGGGAATTGACAAAAGTAGGGAAATGTTAACCACTAGATTCTAATGGTTGAATGGTAATGCGCTCGCTGTGGGAACCTGTATGCGCTGGGCTTAATCCTCCGCATGGTTGTAGGTGCTCACTTCTAAGGAGTCTCATATAAAGATGAAACAGCTGTTCAGTGCTCGAAGTTTTCTCATGATTCTTCGTTTAATATCGATCTGTAATGAAAACTCCTTTAAAATTTACAGATCTCTACAAGCTGTCAAGTTAATCAACAACCAGACGACTAGTTACAAAGTATATGTATTGTATGGAGGTTAGTGATGCCGCCTATTCATGTCAGTCTACGAAATTTGACGAGATAATCTTGAATGAGAATCTGTGGATTGTGCATAAATTTTGTTTGAAAGTAACTACAGACATTCATCAACAGCTACCTACACTCGATACTCAAGATTAGATGGCCAGAAAGAATAAGCAACAAGGAACTCACTGTGGCAATGAACCAACCAGCAACATATCCCTCAACAAATGTAGAGAAGGAAGTGGAGATAGATTGGACATACACTGAGAAGACCATTCGGGGACATTACGCGCCAGGCTATGTAGTGGAACCCAGATGGGAAACGACAAGTTGGGTGTCCAAGGTGAGGGTGATATGAAGGAGATGGTGTGGGGAAGAAATGAGAGCTCGTGGGCAGTCGTGACGCCAGGTTAAAAGAGAAGAGTGGAATGGAGATGTGCTACTGAATCCCTATGTTCCACTAGAAACCCAAGGGAATAATAATGACTAGCTTGTTTAATGATACTGGTTTGAAATATGTTTCCCAATCCTAGTTCTCTATTAAAAGTGCGAATTAGAGGTGTTAGAAAATCCACTTCCGATAACTTTAAGTACTTTTTTATGCTTAACGGAAGTTCGAGAACAACAAACTTTAATAAACCAGGCGGATTTCCCAATGGAACAGGAGGATCTTTAATTACGTTTTTAAAACGCGTACATACTGGCGGACATTATCTACCATACATGTTTTGATCAAAAGGTGGAAGTATATAGACTCCGTCGATTGAGAGTTGTTCAGCTATAGGGAGAAACTGGCAAACAAGTATTTCATGCTGCTAAAGGTTTTCTACTTAAACTTGCCGAATCCAGTCGAAATCCATTCATCAGCCATATGCACCTCCGTGCGATAGGCAATAAGCTACACCTGATATGTAAAGTTTAATGTACTACCTGACTGCACAAACCTTCTTAGTTAGATCAGGGTTCGAACGCATGACCCATCAGTTGACGAATCCAGAATACATCCACAAAGCGTATACACTGTCATCATTCATGTTTATCACAACTCATCTGTTCACCTTTTTTCAAATCTCAAAATTCTCCTTCTCACTTTTACTTGGATGTTCTCTTCTCAACATCCCGTGTTTCTTCTTAATTTTCATATAACTTTACCAGAGTCTATTTTCTCTTTCTTTCCTGTTGGAAGATGAATAACAATCTCCCACCATCGTGCTAGCTAGTGTATCGATTTACTTCAATCTGGAGGTTTGTGGAGATTTATTAATTGATTTCAGGTTAGAATTCAGCATGGACTGACATCATTTAGAGAAACATTGAAATCTAGCAGCACTCCACAACTGTCTCGTCCCACTTGTATGGCACTCCTCACCAGTGCGCATCCATAACTCCGCCCCATCACCCACCCAATCCAGGACATTCAGGTTCCACAACCAACACGTTACCATTGAGTCACTGGGTCACGATCCAATCATCCATACTTCCTACTTCTGTCACTTCACGATATACCACCACCACCACCTCCATCCAATATCGTCACATCGAGAGTCACTTCCTTCATGTTCGACTTGGTTGGCTCCGCCAGTCACGACTTTCCATCGGAACTCTCAAAGCTAGTCACCAATGAGATCTAGATCAGTTTGTGGAGAGAGTCGTATACCAGGAAGAAATAGCTGTCCAGTGCTCTAAGATTTCTAATCTTCCTCCATGATCAATTTCATCCTAAAATACATCAGCATGTTTGTTGGTTTGTCTATCTGTTTTCTAATCTGGATAAAATGTGTTGATCTCTGAGTTGTTGTTCATCGGTGATTTGTAATCATTACTGGCATCTGTTGAATTGTCATGAGTTTACGATTTTTGTGATATTAAGGAAATTAGACAGAAATCTAAATACTCTAGGATGATATTAACACCTCTGATACTCTAAAGAAGGAATCGTTATACAGTGTATTAGTTTCATTACAATAGAAAGTATCAATATAAGAGGCTTACATTACTGTGACGGTTCAAGTTCACTGTGCTTCACATTAGCACATCAAGATACAAAGTAGGAAAATGAAAAGTGGAAATATAAGCGAAGAAAATATCATTCAAAGTCATTGAAAGTTGTAAGAAGAAAACAAATGGAGGAAGATTAAGGGATAAAAAAAAAAGCTTGATATGATGATGATTACAATGAAGATAACATTTGGGCGGATGTGTGCCAGTGATATCAATTAAATCATTTCATCTAGTCTCATTTCAAATGGATTCCAACTCGGAAGTCTACATTTCTCAACATAGCTTAAAATATTAGTAATACTCACCTAGACTCATGTTTAGTATTATTTTAAGGCTGAAGCTCTCTCACTTAAGTGATTTCGAATTGTAAGTTAACTGATGAATGATGATCATACATAGGTTACAAACTACTTAGGTGTCTGAAAATGATGTATTTCCTAATTCACAGAGTTGTGAATCATCTGAACACTAACTTATATGAAAGAAAAAAAAACTAAGTTAGAGTTTATCAAAATTTTATGTTCATGTAAAATAAGCCAAGTGATTGCATATGCTTTTACTTATTTCTTAATTGTTAGAGTTGTATTACACTAAGGTTAGGTAGTTGATTTTGAAAGTGTACTATTTTACACATTAGTGGCCCCTAGTAAACATAATTGTAAACCTTCATCAACTAACTTGACTTAAATATATGTTATGCATACGTGCTGATTGTCGTCTACTCTGATAAATGATATCAGCTAAAGTTGTATCTAGTTAGAAGGAATCTAAGGGTAACTAGACTAAGTAAATGGTCTAGGCCGTGTAGACTTTCAGTTTTAAATCTATTTGATAATTGAAACCAAATAACCCAGTATCGATCGCATTGGTGAAGATATATTCATGTTTTTTATATGTTTATCTAAACTGTGTTGTCATATCTTTTTACTCGAATTATCTCTTGTCCTCTTTGTCTTGCAATTGTGTATGATTGCCTTTTTCTACTATCTACCTTGATATGGTATGGTAGCTTGGGCCATTTTTTAAAATGTATCTAAATCCATCTAAATAATTACAGGGGCATATTACCTCTATCTAAGGATGAGAATATGAGGATTCTCTTCTGCCAGTGTTACTGCAAGAAACGACAAGATTGAGAAGCAGAAAGGAATGTTTATCATTCAGATCGTGTATAATAATGATGAAATGTTGTACACTTCCCAATAATACAGTCGTTTGCACAGTGTACTTCATTTCCCCTTCTGCTTCTATCTCGATTTCTTCTTAATACGTCCACACTGTGTCTTTTGCGTTTCTCTGAGCAGAATCTTTACCCATTACTGGTAAGTGTGTATAATTTCTGTCACCCTCTCAACATATACTACTTATATGCATTCTAATCAGCAGCGACCACTACACTCGCTCCCCCCTGTCAAATTTTTGGGTTTTCAGCGTTGTTGATTGTCTATGTGCTGTCTCCTCCTAGTGTTCATGCAAAATTCCTCCTTTTTCTCACCGTCTCCATTTTGAAGTAGGTTGGCGTCTACTCTTTTGTCTTTGTTACCGCTTTTGATGGTATAAACTAAACCACGTCTCTCGGTAACAATGTATGGTCTTTCCCACTTCGTAAAGAGTTTTCTTGTACTATATTCGCCTCCTGACGTATATCCTCATTCTCTACATTTCAGTTCTTCTCCGACTTCAAACGGTTTCCATTTATTTCCTTCTCTCTGCTTGGAGTTTTCAGCTTTCTGTTTTTATTCCACATTTCTGACTGCCTGTTTCCGCTTCTTTCTGAATGTAGTCATGTTCCACAGCTGTTGTTGGGGCCAGGTCTTACTATGTATTGGAAGCCGTGGTTTCTTGCTATACATTAACTGGAACAATGATTTCTACCGCCCTCCTAACATATACTACTTATATCCATTCAGATCACCAACGCCCACTACAGTAGTGTTATTATTGAAAGTTAAACAGGAGTTTTGTTTTTTACTGCTTAATCATCATTTCTCTCCGTCCCTACAGATGTCAGTTTATCCCCACCTTACTGCATAAAAAGTATTTGGAATATTCACACTTAATGAACTTCCAAGTGTAAATACAAAAAAGTTAAACATTGTGGCTTTCATTATTCAAATCTTGTTAGTTCCCTTTATTCACTTTATTCAATTATATCTGTCGTCCTCTTCTTCGACTTTTATACTATTTACTTCGATCTTGTTATCGTATTATCATTCAGGTGTTATTTATTTGGCAGGTGATCGATTGAAGTGGGTTTCAGGACTCATATCTCATTGTCCTGTTTGTAACTCGTCAACTCAATGTATGTGTATCTCAGTAGGAAAATCATTGCTCTCTGAGCTATAAATTCATTCTTTTCTTTACTAATTCTTAACCCCTTTTTGATAATTTTATTCCTTTTTTTTCCTTTATCTCTCATCCAATGTTGCCGTATACCTTGATGAGTTGTTATCAGTTGGAGTAATTCGAGGTCTTCGACAGTACTATCATATCCTATATTGTTGCTAATTGACTTTAGGTTTGTTCAGTTGACAAGTTGCATATGAGACGAAAAGTGTTTGTACCGCTGGTCTTCAGCGGTACCGCGGCTAACAATAGAGAGTGAAGTGGTTGAGTGTGTTGACCACTTCACTTACCTGGGAAGTAGGATCAACCTCGGTGGGTTAGTTGCCGATGAGATTTCTGGACGGATACAAACGGCTCGATTGGCTTTCGCCAATTTGCGCCACCTATGGCGCCGCCGTGATATTCGTTTGTCTATTAAGGGTCGTGTGTACTGCACAGCAGTCCGCTCTGTCCTGCTGTATGACTGTGAAACATGGCCATTGAAAGTGAAGGATATAAAAAGGCTTCAGGTGTTTGACCACCGTTGCCTTCGTAATGTGGGCCGTATTCCGTGGTGTCACCATGTGAGTAATGCAGAAGTTAGGTGTAGAGTTTTAGGGAGAAGAGGTAAGTCAATTGACGAGGTTATGAACCTTCATCGACTGAGATGGTTGGGACACGTGTTAAGTATGCCTAGTCACCGATTGCCTCGTCACACAATGTTGGCTGAGGTGGGTCCAGACTGGAAAAAGGCTCGAGGTGGCCAGACTAAAACATGGCACCAATGTATGAAGTTTTTGACTGTTGGTTTAAGCCATGTGGGGCGATGCAGACTAGGTGGTTGGGGTCCACGGGACAAGAGGAACCAGTGGTCAGAGACTCTAGGTGATATGGCTGAGAACCGATGTCAGTGGCGCAGATGTATACACACATTATCCTCATCTTAACAACGCTATACCGAATCTCACCATTTTGTCACTCCTCTTTCCTTTCTTTCGTACTTTATATTTCTTTTGACTGCATTCACTTATCTTCCTCCTTCACCTCACTACCTTTTACTTGATGTGCTGATATGAGGTGTGGCAAGTTGGACCGTTAGCAGTAATGCCTGGTCCTATGTTGATAATGATGATGATGTTGATTTTCATTGTACTTTGACTGCATCATGTGTTTCCACTTTTTATTTCGTTTTACATTGATGATGATGATGATGACCATCTCATGTATATTGTCTTTTGTCAAATATTCACGATAATTATTTTTATTTAGAAGTAGTCTTGCAAACCAAAAGATGAATCAGTCAAACTTCATATCAGTTTATATGAAAAGCCAAAAACTAAAGTAGATCATGGGAATAATGACACTGATGATGATACTAATCGACCAGATCGAAGTCGAATACGCGCTAGATCACGTTCTCCGTATGGGCATCATTGTATGCGTCTACCGTTGAACTCACGTATATCACAGATACGTAATGATTTATTCCGAATCAGTGGTATACCAGTGCCAAGTCAAATATGGTCAGTTAAACCACAAAATAATCTTCTAGTCAATGAACAAATACCTTCCAATGCAGTCTTGGATTCATTAGTTATTCATTTAAATCATCGTTTTAATCAACAGCAGAAACATAGATCCACATCCTCAAAACTTCAAGACTCGTCTACTACACTTATTGATGTTGCTCCTGTACAAACGTCTATTCGTGACAATCCAACACTAGCTGATCTTGGCTTAAAATCAGGCGATGTTTGTGAATTATGTGTAAGTAAAATGTCTTGCGGTTAATGTGTATGCATTAATTATACTGAGTTATTTTTGTTGAATAACAGTTCACTACAGATGAGCATTTTTCTGTTAACTTCATAGATGAATAATTTTTTCTACCTATTACGATACCTAGTTCGACAAAGAAACGTCCACAAGTTGTAACTTCATTGTATAGATCATAAAACAATCTGGAAATTCACATATTGAATTATAAGTATTGCTTTATTAGTCGTACAAGTTTACAGTATGTTGTGTTATTCCCGTTAGTGTCTTGTAGGGATTGATTGATTTCAAGGCAGTACTGATATAGATTAAATTTGGGGGTTTGTGGGATTTAGTGGTTTTTCAAGTTGGTATTCATCATGGACTGACATCAGTTGAAGGAAGATTGAAAATCTGAGACTCTCTCCACAAACTGATCTACAAACTGACTAGCTTTGAGAGGTGATTCTTAAAGTTCCAATGGAAAGTCGTGACTGGCGGAGCCAACCAAGTCGAACATGAGGGAAGTGACTCTCGATGTGACAATATTGGATGGAGGTGGTGGTGGTGGTATATCGTGAAGTGACAGAAGTAGGAAGTATGGATGATTGGATCGTGACCCAGTGACTCAATGGTAACGTGTTGGTTGTGGAACCTGAATGTCCTGGATTGGGTGGGTGGTGGGGCTGAGTTATGGATGCGCACTGGTGAGGAGTGCTATACAGTGGGACTAGACAGTTGTGGAGTGCTGCTAGGTTTCCAATATTTCTTCAAATGATGTCAGTCTGTGATGAGTACTGATATCACTCGGAGAACCATTAAAAACCTGGAAAACTATGTCAACCTAGACTGCACTTTCTCAGCATGACCCCGGTAATGATCACACCCAGAACCATCTGGACTCATGTCGAGCGCGAGTAAAATGTGCACAGGTTTTATGTAAAGATTATTTGTTCCAAGCTGCTTCTATCTATCCTTGTTGAAAGTGCCTTAATTTATCTCGTTTTTACGAGATGAAAATTTTTCTTGCTACAGGTTTGTTTTTGAGAAGAGTCATTGGCATGGTATGTACTGTGCCAGTGGGGATAATCAGTTGTGTTTGTAGACTTTATGATGTATTTTTTAACTATACCAGTGTCAAGTGGTCCGTATTATTATACTATGCAATCAGAACACCGTATGCTTCCGCAGTATGTGCAGCCGGGAAGTATCAACCACCAGTATACCCATCCAACTGTAACCCAACCTTCCTTACATTTTTCACCTCCTTCGTCTTCACTGCCTATCTTTTACATCGACATTAACCCCCTTGTTGTTTCCTTATATTGCCACTCTGCCAGTATTGCTAGCAATCTAATCCAGACTATCCCTAGTCTCCCAAGATCAACTATAACATGTGAACCGTGTGTCAAATCAGACGACAGGCATCTCACCGGAATTATGGAATCTCAAGCCATGGATGTATAGTATGTTTCTGAGACGTATACGTATAAGTAGACAGACCGATAATGTCCACATGAGACCCTAGTACTATTTCGTAGTGGTCCAGTTTGCCGCACCTGATATCTAGTAATAATGCACTCAGATGTAAAATAAAGAAATGGAGAAGAAAACAGTCTAAAGTGGTCTAAAGTCATGAAAAGAGCGAAGGGGAATCACGGTATACTAAGATCCAGTATAAAAACTAAGATGAAGATAATGTGTGGATGTATCTCTGCCATCGACGTCGATTCTGAACCATGTTGTCTTGAGTCTTCAACCACTGTTTTTGGTTGTCATACCGACCCCCAACAGTAAATCTACATTTCTCTACACGGCTCAGAACAACAGCCGAAGACCTCATGCAATTGTGCCATGTTTTAATCTGGCAACCCCTAACCTTCCAACCTAAACCTACTTCAGATAACAGTATGTGACGAGATAGACAATGACTAGGCATGCATAACCCCCCTTATCCCAGCCATTCTAACCCATAAAGGTTCACAACTTCATCAACTGTCCCCATCTCCCTCAGACTCTATACCTAACTTCCTACATTATTGACGTGATGACACTACGACACCATCTGTGCCACGAAGGCAGTGGTGGTCGAACACCTGAAGCCTTCTTATATCCTCTACCTTTAGTAGTCATTTTTCACAACCATACAGAAAAACAGGGTAAACTGCAGTTCATTGCATGTGTGACCCTAATAGAGAGTTGGATAACTAGCGTCAGTTTGCGAAGCTTAACCCAGTCTTTTGTGTTCACGCAGAGACTTCGTCGATCACTGACTCACCAGGGTTGATCCGACTTCCCAGGTAAGTGGAGTGATCAGTGTGCTCAACCATTTCACTCCCTATTGTTAGACAATGCATCACTAAAGACCAGTCCTGAAGCAACAATTTGGATTTGGAAGGTGAGAAACGCATCCCAAACATCAACAAGTTTCCACTCAATGTCTCCAGAAGGCTCTATCCTGTCAGCTTCTTCACCTGACAAGATTATATATTTGAGGAAAAGACATCTAAGCATTCAGTTGGAAATGGCAGATAATCTCTTCCTGACGCAATCTGGTTCAGCATTGTTTACTGCAGCAGCAGTTATAACGACGGTTGTTAACCTGCATCCAAGAGCTAGTCGAAGACAGTGGCTTTCCGCAACCTCATCCGGATGATCAATGTAAGAGGACTCATTCCAGCTGTTTTTGATCACAACGAGGGGCAACAGCGACTCAAACGAAAATGATGAGAAATCTTCGAATGATCCTAAACGGTAGTGGGTAGAAAAAGTCAGGCTATGTGGAAGGTATCTGCGGTTATCTATACTTGTGAAGAAAATTGGCATGAAAAAAATATTGGTCAGTGAGACCAATGATGCAAAAGATGGATATCTGGTGACTTCTGACAACAGGCAAATAGAACATTAAGGGGAGGGGGAGACGTCGTAGCACAATCGGACTGGCACACCACCACTCATTTTTCCAGCATTAAACCCGAACCCAAAATAGATATACATGCCAACCCACTGACTTTCACTTAAGAAGGCCGCTCGAAACCTTAAACGATGCGAATCTGCCGAACCCAGATGTTTGTCACCAGAGGTTTTTAAGGGCGGACGTAGACAGTTACACGATGGAATTACGAATTTGCTAAATAGTGTATGGTAATCAGAGGTAATCCTGGCACAGTGGTCTAGGTCACTGATCATTCCAGTGATAACTCCAAGGGAATCGGTTTAAATAATATTGCGTATAATATCCAAGGGTCCATAGTTATACAACACAACTGGCCATCGAAAATAATAAATTCGAGAACCAGGCAGGATCTAGATCCGCACAAAAACGCATCGATCACATCTCCACCTTTTGATCGGTCCTGGAACAGAGATGAACCTACCGTCTCCAGAAACTTACCATATTTCTTTATCTGAAGTTGGCATTCGACTCTGTCGACCGAGACGTTGTGGTAGTGTCTGACTATGAAGGATATACCGATTAATTATTTAATACCAATCAAAGCTCTCTAATCCAACTCAGCCATATAAAGGCTTTTGGAGAGTTGCCAAGTTAGGTGTAAAATCAGCTGATATTAACCTAAACCATCATTGATTGAGGTGACTCAGACATTCATTAAGCTTGGCAAGCAACTGTTTACCATACTGTGGACAGTATGTATTCTGTGTCATATGAATATCCATTTGTAGAAATATCTACAATTTTTACGCACAATTTGGTTGCTGATATAAGGAGCTTGACTTTAAAGGCCACTCTAGCAACTGATAAAGCAGCCAATCACTTTTCTCTATTCTACGAAAAATTACCTTCCAGCCAAGATACCGCAATCTAATTGGTTATTTTGGCAGTTGTTAGGGTGACGTTTAAAGTAAGGAGACACTCAGTAAGGTAGTGTATTGATTTATTGCTAAAGATTAGAATCACGTACATATTCGTGACTGGTGTACACTGTTTCGATTGTTACTATCTAGTACTCTACAGAAATCACCAGATTTTTTCTTTATATGGTTCGGCTTTTACACATGCAGTGTACGCATAAACTCAAACGATAAATTCGCCATACTTTCGTTCAAAGTTGATTCTTTCCATATATCCGCAAAAACATGCTCCATATGTTTAAGCTTCTGTAAGCTTTAAATTACAGAATTACTATGGTTTGTTCAGTGTGTCTTAATGCTTTAGCTCTCATATTTGTTAACTTAGCTCAAATTCATCTAGACAGCTGTAGATTGACACTCTATGAAAGATAACTCATAACCAATTTTTTCGCTTGAAACTTCGCTTCTGAAGAATGACTAATGAAGACTATTTCTTACACGTAAACTCCGAATTCAACACATCATATCAGCGCTTCGAAGTACAAAGCAACAAGATGAAAACTACGAAAAAGAAATAGGGAAGTAAAGAAAGTACAAAAACATGATACAAAGTTTAGGTTTAAGGGGGGGGGATATGTAGATGCATCTGCGTTGCTATGATCGATTCTACACCTTATTACTTGTAGTCTGCAATCGTTTATTTTTGGTTGTCACATTGATTTCAATAAGGAAACTTACATTTCCCTACACACATCTCATATTTACTTTTGAGACTCAGTAAACTGATGTAACGTTTTAGTCTGACCATCTTTAGCCTTACTCCAACATAACCCTACTTAATAAGTTTCGTCGAGTTAGTCGACGTTGATTGAGCCCACGTAATACAGATCACAACCACCTGAGTTGGTGAAGGTTTAAGATTTTATCAACTGATTTGCCTCTTTTACTGAATACTCAATAACTAACCGCTGCATTGTTCACGTAGTCATTTCACGGTTGTGGTCAATGCTGTGATAGAACATGTGTAGGTTTCTTCCTTTATGTTTCACTTCTAATTATCATGTTTTACAGTCATAAAGTAGAACAGAGTGAACTATTGTTCAGTGCACTCGACTGGTAATTATTATATCTGTGAGTAAAGCTACTATAGGAAGGAAATGGAAATATTCCTCATTTTCACTTAGATTTAACTAGCCATAAGTTTTGTGATAAATTGTCCAGTTATGTAGCATAAACACATAAGCGAATAAATACCATGCATTGGTTGATGGTTTGCCGGTGACCAATCGATCTATGCAGTTCAGTCCTACAGGAGGTCATTAATGGTCCGAAGGGGTCATATTAATCTTGGTGACTAGCAGAGGAATCCAAACGTGCATTTCGTCCTGCTTGGGCCTCGTCAGCTGGATGCACCTGCACCCCGTTGAGTGATGTGGCTCGAATTCAGTACCCATCGCTTCAAACGCCAGAGCGCTATTCACTAAGCCATTAGGGCACGATAACCATCTCTTGTGCAACGGGTATCAGTTATTGTAATGCTACTTTTAATTTCCTGTTGCTAGACCTTACCAAATTGCTCGACCCCTGTTGGATGATGGGCTCGTATGCGGATTCCTCGATACTGCCGAATTTCCATGATGTTATGTTGATCTTGGTGACTAGCAGAGGAACCTAGGACATGCGTTTTGTCCTATTTGGGACTCGGCATCTGGACGTACCTGGACTCCAGTAGCTTAGTGAACAACGCTCTATCATTTGGTACGATGGGTACGGGGTTTGAGCCTCAGTGGGAACAACATCACTCCGCACTAGAGTGCGGGTACATCCAGCGAACGAGTCCCAAACAGGACGAAATGCGCGTCCTAGATTCCTCTACCAGTCACCGAGATCAATATAACATCACGAATATCCGGCAATATCGAAGCATCTGCCAACAGAGGTCGAGCAGTTCGACCGTGTATAGGAACAAGAAATTATAGGTATCATAACACACCCGAAGAGGTTATTGGTAACATCGCTGACTACAAGGTTGGATAACGCGGGGATTGAATCTCACGGAGTACACCAGTTCCTGCGAGGTTTCAGACACGCCTTGCTGATGAGTTTCGACAAGCAAGAAACCTAGTTCAAGCGGGACTTCCTGCCGATTGCCTCCAATTAACTAACATCCGAGCAAGTATATACTACTACAGTGTTAATATCTAGTTGGTGTGTTGTCTTCCCAAGATTTCCTCATCTTCTGCATCTCACTCAGCGTATAACGATGCTGGTAAACACACTAGCGTTAACAAGGATGCGTATGCTTATATTATGTACAAAGGGAGTAGAGAAGTCAGTGTTTATTTTTAGATATTTCATATTGATTACTAAACATAAAAAAAGGAAACAGTGGGTCAGGAAAGTAAATTGACCCAGTATTAAGAAATTAACCGGTGAATGAGTATCTTATTTCTTTATTCTTACCACTGTAGCTGACTTATTCTTCATTCAGTTAACTGTCATCAAGTCGTCACTTCTTTTCATCGGCGAGATGTTTGTGTGTGTGCGTGTTTAAAGGTGGGGTAGTAGAACCTAGTGGGCTGGTTTTCGCTTGACTATAAACAATCCATAATACTTCAGAGGTGAAAATAAGTTATGCGAAAATACGTGCTACTGTTCTTTATGTTAAGTAGTTAGAAGCAATCGGGAGGAAAACCTGGGCCTAGGTTTTGTGGTTTTTGGTACTCTGAGCAAGGCGTATTTGATTTTGTCGCTTTTACTGCAGTGTACTGCGTATGTGGACAGTAGGAAGATTCGATCCTGTCACTAGTATCATTATGTTAGCATCGATCGTAATACATATGATAGTGCATTGTATTGCAGGGCTCGATCGTTTAGCCGAATAAGTATTGTTAAATGTTGCAATTCAGTCAGCGGGAAGTCATGGATGTGAGTTTCTTGGTTGTTGGCCTTCATCAGCAAATGCATCTGTAGCTATGAGGAAACTGGTGCTCCCTCATTGTTTCGAACCTACATCGCTCATTGCTAAAGTCGGAGACTTAACTAACCACTAGGCTGTCCAGACGACCCCCTGCATGACTAGATTATGTATATGAATTGGTTACTAGTGGGTAATTGATGTAGCTGTCCAGACTTTACTGTTTGGTGCTGATCGAGATGCAGGAGACTCGTTCGGCATTTGCCAACTTTCGTCATCTGTGGCGCTAACTAGCGAGATATGCGACCACTTTTGAAAGGACAAGTATGTTGCACTGCAGTCCATTCTGTCCTGTTATACAGATGTGAGATATTCCCGTTAAAGTGTAGTAGATATGAAACAGTTACAAGTTTTTGATCACAGGCATTTTCGTAGCATTGTTCGCGTTTGGTGAATTCACCGTGTGAGCATTGTTGAAGGCAGGCGAAGGGCACTACTAAAGGTATGCTAGTCGACTAATGAGATTATAAGCCTTCATCACTTGAAACGCTTTGGACACTTAGGTTGCACATACCGAGTTACCACCTACCACGACATATTATGCTAGTGGAAGACGATTCAGAGTCTCTTACTGTCGGTGTGTTCCATGTGGGGAGATTTAGACTGTCTGGTTGTAGTCCCTGAGACGACAAGAATCAGTGGTTGAGGACTCTTGGTGACAGCTGAAAATGGGTCACAGTGGCCCAGATGTATTCACTCCCTGATATCTTCTAAAGCTTGAGTATCTTCAAATTGTTTATTCTCTCATACAACTTTGTCCACTTTGATATCACTCCCTCAATCCATGAAGTGTTGCAACTTGAGCGGATGCATTTATGTTAAGGTTCTGAGTTGATTTTGTCCGGCAATGATCAAAGTTTATGGATCAAGTTTTGCACTGTGACTGCTAAGCTAAGTGAAGCAACACTGCTGTGCACTGTATTTAGGTATAAAAACTAGTTAACATATCTTTGCTGAATTCAATTTTCGTACTGTTCGGCATTAATCACCAAAGGCATAATAATAATAATAATAATAATAATAATAATAATAATATAATAAATAGCTTTATTCTGAAAGCTATTTCGAGAATACTCTACAGAATTTTCAGCATATCATATAGCATCAGTTGGATACAGACAGTGTATATGTATACATAGTAAAATGAAATAAGTAGTAATTACATTAAGAAAAGATTTGAAAAATATTCGCTTTATCTACAACTTTCTTCAAAATGCACAGTCACTTTGAGTAAACAATCAGATCGGCTGAACGTAGAGAAGGCAGAGATTGATCAAGATATCCAGCTAACAACAACAAGCACCAATCACCGTGAACGGGAGAAATCTAAAGGAAGTTGTCTCTTTCACCTACCTCGGCAAGGCACCATCGTTTCAATTACAGATGGCACATATGAGGATGTCAAAGTCAAGAACCACGCCAAAACAGGCCTTTCTTCATTAATCTGAAATAATTGGTGAAGAGATCTACTGGACTACACTGCACTGCACGTAAAGAAAAGACTCCGCATTTTCAACACTAAGTTTGTCAAATCAGTGTTTCTATGTGGCAACGAACCAACCGGAAACCTATCACCCAACAAATATGCAGAAGAAATTGCAGAGGGATTGGATTGGACATACACTGAGAACACCATTTGGGGACATCACACATCAGGCCAGATCAGGTCGTCGAGTGGAACCCAATTGGGGGACAATGAGTCGGGCGTCCGAGGCGAGGGTGACATGAAGATGTTGTGAGGAAGAAATGAAAGCTTGTGGGCAGTGGTAAAGCCAGGTTCAATAGACTGCAGACGAGAGAGTGAAATGGTGATGTTTTACAGAAGCCCTAGGAACCCGAGGAACAAATAATAATAATTGATGGTAATAATAATGATAATGGCTTTATTCTGAAAGCTATTTCGGCAATACTCTGCAGAGCTTTCTTTATGTCATGCAGAAATATTGTATATGTATACATAGCAAAATGAAATAAGTAGAAATTACATACATAAAAGATAAGAATATTTACTCAGTCTACAACTTTCTTGAAAATGTATAGTTAATTTAGGTAGACAATCACATTAAGTAATACATAAATAGTAACAAGCTGTGTACTTATCAGTTAGATAACTCTCGAAAACAGAAGTTGATTAGTTAGTTCATTTGTATAACTTTCTTCATTACACAGCAGACGAGCTAAATACAGTATTGTAGAGTTTTTATATTTTGTAGTATGTGCATAGTCTTATGTACTTGCTCCATGTCTTTCTAGATAACCGACATACAGAGAGCTTTGAGTGAAGAGAATGCTGGTCATCGGATAAACTAACTCCTGCCAGATGTTTACACAAGACACGACTATCTTAACTAGATGGTTTACAGGGTAGAATTACTAGCCGTATGACCAACCTTCCCTCTTTATCCGGTCTTAGGAGCGTCGAGTAAAGTAGGCAAGGTTATGTAAACCTATAGGTAATCGTAATTGTAGTACTTCACAATAGGACTAAGTTCTAAGTTGTGGCATGTGTTTATTGTGTTAACTTAATGTGTATATATATATATATATATATATATATATATATATATATATATATATATATATATGGAGTAATCTATTATTGATTAGGCATATAACACATGTCTTGGTCATCATATGCCAATGAAATGTTTTAAATATACAATTTTCCTTTCACTCTCAGAAATAGTCCAGAGTGTACAACAATCAACGGTGCCTCCTCTTCAAATCTATAGTGATAATCGATTATTCTTGTGTGTTGAAGGATAAATGCTCATTATAATCGACAGACTTCTGTAGGCTACGGTAAGGCTATAAACGTAGTTTGACTAGAATGCATTCAACAGTTTTAACACAATGGCTTGTTTGTTTATTCCTTTCAATGGTTGGATTGTTTTCATGTAATATTGTTAAACAACAGAGGTATATGGCGGTATAACTATGGTTAACTGCAGATTGATAGACATAATGTACAGATTTTAAAAAAATTGACTTATCTTTTTACAAAACACTTTTAAAAAAATTTTTTCCCCTCCTTACCTGTCCCAGCTGACCGCTTCACATCCATTCAATAACGCTAAAAATGCAAGTAAAACTTTATCCTTTCAAAATGATCCTATACAATTTAAACCACTATCATCAACCCAACAACAACAAAACATCACTGTCACAACAACCTCTTGATAATATTCTAATGCCGTCCAGTTCTAATCTTGGTGTCTTCCGAAATGAAGCATCTAACATGAATAAATCCAGTCGAAAGATAACCACCTCTAAGAAACAAATTGATGATAATATATCGCCAGAAGTTGTAAGTTTTTTTTCTTATCCATGTGATTCCTTACTTATTTTAGACATAATAATAACAATAATAATATAGTTTGTTAATTCCACTTAAAGAACTTGCTGTGCTTTGCATAATTGTTTTCATCACCATAAATCAATATTACCTGGGGCATTCTTAATACGGATAGCCATCATCATCATCATCATTATCAACATAGGACCAGGCATTACTGCGTAACGGTCCGAGTTGCCACACCTCATATCAGCACATCAAGTAAAAAGGTAGTGAGGTGAAGGATGAAGATAAGTGAATGCAGTCAAAAGAAATATAAAGTATGAGAAGAAAGGAAAGAGGAGTGACAAAATAGTGAGATTCGGTATAGCGTTGTTAAGATGAGGATAATGTGTGTATACATCTGCGCCACTGACTTCGGTTCTGAGCCATATCACCTAGGGTCTCCAACCACTGGTTCCTCTTGTCCCGTGGACCCCAACCACCTAGTCTGCATCGTCCTACATGGCTTAAACCAACAGTCAGAGACTTCATACATTGGTGCCATGTTTTAGTCTGGCCACCTCGGGCCTTTTTCCAGCCTGAACCCACCTCAGCCAACATTGTGTGACGAGGCAATCGGTGACTAGGCATACGTAGTACGTGTCCCAACCATCTCAGTCGATGAAGGTTCACAACCTCGTCGACTGACTTACCTCTTCTCCCTAAAACTCTACACCTAACTTCTGCATTACTCACATGGTGACACCACGGAATACGTCCTATACTACGAAGGCAACGGTGGTCAAATACCTGTAACCTTCTCATGTCTTCCACTTTCAATGGCCATGTTTCACAGCCATACAGTAGAACAGAGCGGACTGCTGTGCAGTACACGCGACCCTTAATAGACAAACGAATATCACGGCGGCGCCATAGGTGGCGCAAATTGGCAAAAGCCAATCGAGCCTTTTGTATCCGTGCAGAAATCTCATCGGCAACTAACCCACCGGAGTTGATCCTACTTCCCAGGTAAGTGAAGTGGTCAACACACTCAACCACTTCACTCTCTATTGTTAACCGCGGTACCGCTGAAGACCAGTCCTGGAGCAAAAATTTGCATTTGGGTGGTGAAAATCGCATCCCAAACATTCTCAAATTCCCACTCAAAGTGTTCAGAAGACTCTGCATCTTGTCAGCGTCTTCACCTAACAGGACTATGTCATCTGCATATTCTAGATCTAAGGAAAATTCACCTGTGATCCGGTCAACGTCTTTGTAATTAGGTGACGAGAGGGAAACCTCCATAAGAATATCTATGATAAAATTAAATAAGAATGGGGATAGTGGGCATCCTTGACGGACACCACTTGATGAGTATAGCTCCCTGGACAACTCACCATAGGCTCTAACATGCCCACAAGTGTTCGAGTAGAGAGCTTTCAATAAGGTGATGTACTTACTAGGCACGCCTTTCAGTGACAGACACTGCCATAAGACTTCTCGATCAACGGAGTCAAATGCCGCCTTCAGGTCGAGAAATACAGCTATTGTCGGGCGTCTGTAAGCATGCCTATGTTCCAGGACCTGGCGCAGTGTGAATATTTGGTCGATACATCCACGGCCAGGTCTAAAGCCTGCCTGGTTTTCTCGGGCTTGCTGTTCCCGAGCTCCACTCAGGCGTCGGAGAATTATAGAACTTAGGATCTTAGACACTATGTTTGTCAGGCTGATTCCTCTGTGGTTATCACAAGAGGACTTCTCGCCTTTCTTGAAGACTGGGATGATCAGTGACTTAGACCAGTCGGAGGGGATCGTATTTGATTCCCATATACTGGCTAACACTTCCGTTAGCCTGACTAAGAGAACTCTACCACCATTCTTGTATACCTCAGCAGGTAGTCCGTCTGGTCCTGCTGCCCTTCCCCGTTTCAGGCTACCTACCGCTTTCTCGACTTCTTCTAGTGTTGGGGGACCTGTCTCTATGTCCCATTCAGGGTCCGACTGGATAGCGGGCAGCGCAATGGTGGCTGGAGGCCAGTTAAACTGTTCCTCAAAGTGTTCTGCCCATCGTCCCAGTCGCCTTCCCTGCGAGTGAATCGCCGATCCGTCCTTCTCCGCTATAACCTCACTAACTGTTGTTGACCATTTCCCCCCAGTCTCCTTAATAAGTCTAAATAACTGTCTACTGTTACCGATCGCCGCTGCCTTTTCCATCTCTTTAGCCTTTGCTGCCCACCACTGTTCACGATCGTTGCGCAGACTTTTCGTCAGTTTATTTTTAAGTTGCGCTCGCTCTTCATTGTACTCAGAGCCTGCAGGGATGCATTCACGTGCATCCATTAGTTTGGAAGAAGCTGCTGATATCCACTGGCTCTTTTTAGCCATTATCTTGGAGTCGGCTACAGTCTCCAGTGCTGCTTTTACAGTAGACTGAAGATGGCACCAAGCTTCTTCTGGATGAGTGACAGTCTTTTGTTCCGATAACTGCCTAGCCAACTTCTCACTGAACACGGCTTTGGTGTTTTCGTTGTCCAGCAGAACTCGTAGTGGTTTTGTTGCCAAATTTTTTCTACGTCCATTGAGACGCAGGCATATACGTGCTCGGACCAACGCATGATCGCTGTCCAAACACGTACTCCAGAAGGAGCGGCAGTCTTCCACCGATCCTCTCCAGCGATGACTAATAGCAATGTGGTCTATCTGTGTCCATCGCTGAGTCGAGCTCGGTGGACGCCAGGTCAGACAGTGCCTTTCTTTATGTCTGAAATTTGTGCTGGCTAAAAATAGGCGGTTATCTGAGCATAGTTGTAATAGGCGATCACCGTTATCTGTACGTTCAGCTGGGATTCCGAAAGTGCCACCTAAGTGCCTTTCTGCCTCACTCAGTCTACCCACCTGTGCGTTGAGGTCACCTGCAACAACCACTACGTCCGAACGTTTGGCTTTCGAGAGGAGGTTAGACAGTTTATGGTAGAACTCGTCCTTCACTTCATCCGAACTACAGTCAGTGGGTGCGTAAGCAGAGATTACAAAGAGACAACGGCGAGTCTCACTATTCCTTTTAGTTCTCACTGTGCCGTTCAGCCTCATAGCGCAGAGGCGACTATCAACTGGGATCCAGTCTAGTAGTGAGTTTTCTGCCCTGGTGCTTAATGCTATACCTACACCTGCAAGACCACGAGAGCTAGCTATCGAATCTCCAGAAACTCGAAGGGTGAATTTTGCAGATTCACCAGATTGGTCAGGAGAGGTCAGGTGAATAACCACACTTGGGTCCTGTATGCGTGTCTCACAAACACAGCACACATCCATGCCTCGAGTTGCTAGAGTCTTTGCCAACGAAGCCTGTTGGCCAATTTGACGGAGGGTGCGGACATTGAAGGCTCCAATATGTAATTTGGAGCGTGGTTTAAGGAGACCAGGGACACTGTTCTGTGGACTCAGATCGTTGTCGAAGGCTGCAGAGGTAGGAGAAATTGAAGATGATGCAGCATCATTAATTAAGAGACGTGAAGGAAGATTAGAAGGTAATGATGGAGGAGGAGGATAGCAGTCAGAAGAAACTTGGGTGCTGACAGAGTTGTGAGGGCGGTTGACACTTCCCGGCTGCCCACACCGTGGAAGGCTATTTCTTCTTAAGGTACCTGAAAGAGATTTGTGTGACCGCAGAGCCCATCGGACATCTGCTTGAGGCCTGTCACACCCAGCCTTTTGAGTATGATTATTTTGAATTTTTGTATTTTTGGGGCCGGATGAGCGAAAGGAAACGACAAGTGAACCAACACCGCCGGCCCGGCAGACCGTGGGGCGTGGTGGAGTGTGTTATTTTTGGGGCCGACCTTTTCTAACCCCCCCTTCCACTGAGAAGGCAGCATCAGCTTGGCACTGCTGGTCATCCAAGGGAAACACCTTACTGCTGTCACACCCCATCCAGCTAGCAGCAGTACGACTTCGCCCTCAGACCCCCATCATAGTATAGCAATTTACACTATGACGGTAACTGCTTTTCGTCTAACCACTACCCAACAGACCTTTCTGGTATGGTAGGACCTCGAGGGAACAAGCGTTCCACCAGCATAGCTCGTTGGGTCATTGTGATATGCAAGCCCGACCACCACGTCAAGGTAGCAGCTTCGGTCGGGACGGATAGCCAACAAGTTTATAATTGAATACTTATTCCTCTCCTATCGTAAGAAGGATAGGCTTTAAAACATCACACTGTCAGAGACTGTAGCTCATTGGTTTAGAGATATGTTATCAATACTTGGCTCCCCAAACACACCGGTAGATGAAGTAACCAGTAATCAAACAGAAACCACATTGTTAAACAAATCTACCAGAGTCGAAATTCGTTAGCTGATAAGTATATCAACATTTCTTCATATTTATGTTCTGCAAGAATTTGAATACCGAGTCTGATTTTAATCATTATAAGAATATATTTTAATAGAATCCCAGAGTGCTGTTCATACATATCAAGGGTGGTAACTGCTCAAACTACGGCATATATTTAAAGGTTATGCTTCTCAAGATTTTCTGTGTTGTTACCATGACGCTAATATTAATAATAAAATCCTCTCGTATGTATGTAGACAGAAGGTTTTTACTACTGTCAACCTTTATCTATAGTAGCAGATGAAGTGATAGCATGTAAAGGTGTTTGATCACATGAGAGAATATGTTTTTCACATACTTAAATATGGAACGATTTAAAGCTAGTAACAGTTAACTTCAGTTTTACTGCAAAGTGTGTCTAGTATTCTGGTTGATTAGAACAAACTGTTCCAAGTAAGTTGAATCATAGTTCAAATTTGAATTCCTAATTCAAGAATAAAGTCTGTTCTGAAATTCACTTGGTGACTGGTATTGCATATCTTTCTCGTATATTTTTATCAACGATCCAGCTGAAGTAGTTATATTCAGCTACTATGCTTTTTAAGAGGAGAACTATCTCGTTTTCAACTATTCTGTACTGTAAGTATTCTGTATTGGACGGCAAATTGACAGGATGAGCTTTCTTCTCTTCTTGATAAGCGCTCTTAAAGATTGGTTGGTTGTCAATTCTGCTAGGATTTTCTGTACTTTTAGAAATTTCGTCTTAATTACTATATATATATATATATATATATATATATATATATATATATATATATATATATATATATATATATATATATTATATATATATATATATATATATATATATATATATATATATATATATATATTATTTGAATTGATTTAGTCGTATATATAACAAAGTTTCGTTGAGTGACATATTGGTAAGAAAAAAAGGAAACATCTAGTGAATACATGACATCTTTACTTCCAATTTTACTAGCTATTCCAGCAGATGTTTGTTTTTGCACTGTGTCGACGGCTTTCATAGTACTTTTCAGATGACTGACTCTACAGTCTCCGTTGAATTTATAACTACATGTTGGCATGGGCATCTTTGAAATTCTTTATCTTCAAACGGTCTTAAAAGTAGACTGAGAAAAAGTTAACGCAATGAATGCGAACAATGGTGGGCAGCGAAGGCTAAAGAGATGGAAAAGGCAGCGGCTATTGGTAACAGTAGACAGTTATTTACACTTATTAAGCAAACTGGGGGGGAAAGGTCGACTGCAGTTAGTGAGACCATAGCAGAGCAGGACGGATCTGCGATTCACTTGCAGGAGAGACTACTGGAACGATGGGGTGAACACTTCGAGGAGCAGTTTAACTGGCCTCCAGCCACCATTGCGTTGCCCGCTATCTAGTCGGATCCTGAATGAAACATTGAGATAGGCCCCCAACACTAGGAGAAGAGTTGAGAAAACGGTAGGTAACCTGAAACGAGGAAAGGCAGCAGGACCAGACGGACTACATGCTGAGGTATACAAGGATGGTGGTGGAGTGCTCTTAGTCAGGTTAACGGAAGTGTTAACTAGTATGTGGGAGTCAAATATGATCTGGTCCAAGTCACTGATTATCCCAGTCTTCAAGAAAGGCGAGAAGACCTCTTGTGATAACCACAGAGGAATCAGCCTGACGAACATAGTGTCTAAGATTCTAGCTTTTGTAATTCTTCGACGCCTGAGTTGAGCTCGGGAACAACAAGCCCGAGAAAACCGAGCAGACTTTAGACATGATCGTGGGTGTGTCGACCAAATATTCACGCTGCACCAGGTTTTGGAACACAAACCCGCTTACCGACGCCCGACACTGACTGTATTTCTCGACCTGAAGGTGGTGGTACTTGACTCCGTTGATCGAGAAGTCTTATGGCAATATCTGTCACTGAAAGGCGTGCCTAGTAAGTACATCACTTCATTGAAGGCTCTCTACTCGAACACTTGTGGGCATGTTAGAGCCTATGGTGAGATGTCACGTGAGCTGTCCTCATCGAGTGGTGTCCGTCAAAAATGCCCACTCTCTCCATTCTTATTCAATTTTATCATATATATTCTTATGGAAGTTTCCCTCTCGTCACCTGATTACACAGACGTTGACCTAATCACAGGAGAATTTTCGTTAGACCTAGAATATGCAGATGGCATAGTCTAGTCGTGTTAGGTGAGGACGCTGAATGATGAGATGCAGAGTCTTCTGAACACTGCGTGGGAATTTGAGAATGATTGGGATGCGGTTTTTGCCACCACAATGCAAATTGTTGCTCTAGCACTGGTCTTCAGCAGTTCCGCGGCTAACAAAAGAGAGTGAAGTGGTTGAGTGTGTTGACCACTTCACCTACCTGGGAAGTAGGATCAGCACTGATGGCTCAGTGGCCGATGAAATCTGTGCACGGATACAAAAGGACTCTATTGTCTTACGCCAACTTACGCCACCTATGACACCGCCGTGATATCCGATTGTCTACTAAGGGTCGCGTATACTGCTCAGCAGTTCAGTCTGTTCTACTGTATGGCTGTGAAACATGGCCACTGAAGGTGGAAGACATGAGAAGGCTTCAGGTGTTTGACCACCGTTGCCTTCGTAGTATAGGCCGTATTCCGTGGTGTCACCGCGTGAGTAACGCAGAAATCAGGCTCAGGAGTAGAGTTTTAGGGGGAAGATTTAAGTCCGTTGACGAGGTTGTGAACCTTCATAAAACTGAAATGATTGTGACACGTGTTAAGTATGCCTAGTCACCGATTGCCTCCTCACACAGTGTTGGCTGAAGTAGGTCCAGACTGGAAAAGGCCCGAGGTGGCCAGACTAAAACATGACACCAATGTATGAAGTCTCTGACTGTTGGTTTGAGCGATGTGGGGCGATGCAGACTAGGTAGTTGGGATCCTCGGGACAAGTTCAATCGTTACACAGTAATGCCTGGTACTAGGTTGATCTGGATGGATGGATGGAAACGGGCCAGTAATATGGATCTGTTGCTCAAAGTTAGTCTTGAAGTGACTGCAGGAAACATCTTCAACCAGTGATTAGTTCTTTTCTTAAACTCTTAGGGTTCATAAGTATTTGCTTCTTTTCACAATTAGCAGGGACTATTATTGATCTTGGTGACTAGCAGAGGAATCCAGGTTGCGCGTTTCTTCTCGTTCGCGGCTCGTCAGCTGAATGCACCTTTACTCCATTGAGTGGTATTGTTCCCACTGAGGCTCGAATCGAGAGCGTTACCCACTAAGCCACTAGGGTATCTGTTATTGTAATGATACTTTTAATTTCCTGTTGCTATACCTGACCGAATTCCCCGACCTCTGTTGGATGATGGGTTCGTATGCGGATGCTTGGATACTGCCGGATATTCATGATGTTGTGCTGTACAATAAGGATCACCAACTTGTTGTTCATTCTGTTTGTCACATTTTTCTGAGTGAAATGTTTGGGATCTCCATCCTATTTGAATGTGTCCATCAAATTTTACAAGTTTTTCAATAGTGGTATCGAAGCAAACTCTCCTTGTCCTTTCATATAGGTTTTTAATCAAGGTTCTTTTCTACCTTGGGGGGGGGGGAAGCTGTAAAAATGTGTGTCGTAAACGCCTGTGATGAATACACCTTCATGTGATCTGGTCAGGAGAATATACATGAAAAAGATTGGCTCTAATTTTTACTGCTCATAGACAAATTTTATCCGCGGACGTGTAGTCTGTCAACATTTGTAGGTATTTCATTTATCTTCGTGTTCTTATCACATATGAGAAAGGTGTCACTCATACGTCTTCAGTAAAGACTTATTAACCCGATGAACAACCTCGAAATACAGTCATCCAACTTTAACAGTCACCTTACCATTGTTGTAGTATGGTGAGTTGGACATGTGTGGTAGAAGTACTGTATTCGCTAAGATTTCTCAGTCTGATCGACTAATTTTCATTTCTTTGAAATACACTCAGCAATCATACCTCCTTTCATGTAATAGGTAGTAAGCCACACCTACTGTGTGACGGATAGCTAATAATACCACCTAACTGTCCACACCTCGGGAAATAAGGTGGACTTGGAATCCGTGATCCACTAGTTGCAGCTTTGTTTTGATAGGATCAACGTGTGAGAAATGTTGAGTTCAGGCGAAGGGTACTCGGCAAGTCAATTGAAGAGATGATGCACCTTCATCACCTGAGATGGTTTGGACATATACTAAATATGCCGAGCCACCACCTAACTCGACGTGAGATGCTAGCGGGAACTGGATTAAGTTGGAAGAGGGTTCACGATGGAGAGATCAAGGCGCAGGACCAGTTGAAGAAGTCCCTCACCGATGATTGGATTCGTGTAGGAAGGCATAAACTACCTAGGTAGGGTTTATTTAGACGATAAGAATCAGTGGTTGAGGACTCTAGGTGACATACCTGAAAATTGGTCACAGTGATGCAGATGTATTCATTACTTGACGTCTTCTAAAGCTTGAATATTTGCACTAACTGTTATCTTCAGATTGCATATTCTATCGCACAACTTTGTTATCTCTCTCATTCTATCCATCTTTTCTTTGTATACTACTGTGAAGTGTGGCAACTTCAGCCGATACACTTGTGTGCGAGGTTCAACGGTAATTCTGTCTATCTGTTTGTCGTAAACCTATGGACCGTGGTTGCCTTTATTATTTTCTAATCACTGTTAATACATAATATTGTTTTCATTCCCTCGTTTTTGACTACGTTAACTTTTTTGTTCACAAGTAAAAAGTTTATCTCATTGAATATTCCATTTAGCATATGTCTGGTTGGTGTTTAAATTGTGTCAATGTCTAAACAGGAGTCATACGAATTTGATAAGTTGACTTTTTGGAGAATCAGTTTACTGCCAATGTTCTGCTCAAATTTTCTATTCATTCCACCCTTCAGCATTCTTATTTTCTCTCTTCTTTTTTTAAAATAGGGATCTGATTACGACGATGACTATGATATGGATTATCATTATTCGAGTGATGAAATGCTTGATCCTACTGAGGATAATAAAGTCACTCCCTGGAATATGCCGTTGAGTAAGAAATATTATTTTTATGATTGTATCTAATGGTATATTGATTATTCTCTGCATGGATGAATATGCTATGACCAGTAGTACGACCTAACAGTCTGCGAGCGATACGCGCCTATCAGACCATGAACCATACGAAATTAACGCTCAGCGAATCGACTCTAACACTAATCGGAATGTCAGTCACCACAACCACCGACGTGCGAAGACAAGAAGGGAAGACAGACAGAGAGCCGTTTACTGTCTCAGCAACAGTTGACAGTGGTGCTAAGTATATACACTTCTAAATGACCTTGACAACGCCAAATCCACATATAGTTAACAACCAATGAGAGTTGAGCCTTCAGAGGAGAGGGGAGAAAAAGGAGTGACAGTGTGAAAACATCCATGTAGGTTATTTTGAAGTCATGGGCAAAACAGTAAGAAAAAGCTATACAGAATTAGGAGTATATAGCAGAATAATATCCATCCATCCAAATTAACATAGGACGAGGCATTACTGCGTAACGGTCCACATTGCCACACCTCATATCAGTACATCAAGTAGAAAGGTAGCAAGATGAAAGATGAAGAAAAGAAAACTCAGTCAAAAGAAAGGCAAAGTACGAAAAGGGAGAAAGGAAGAATGAGGAAATGGTGAGATTCGGTATAGCATCGTTAAGATGAGGATAATGTGTGTGGGGATACATTTCACCACTGACATCGGTCCTGAGCCATGTGATCAACTAGGGTTTCCAACCACTAGTTTCTTTTGTTTCGCGGACCCCAACCGACTAGTCTGAATCGTCCCACATGGCTGAAACCGATAGTGAAAGGCTTCAAACAATGATGTCTGGTATATTGGTACCAGACCAAGCATGCTTCACAGTGTGTCACACTGCATTCCACCCAATAAGATCCGATCAACCAGTTAGTATCATCAGTCTACATATAGTGGGTGGTGTATTTCAATGCCCTACTACACGAACGTGTAAATATTTGCTGAGTTGTATTTAGATATCAGTACTAGACTGCCAACTGAGCACTGCACAAATTATTAAATTCTAAAAGAGACCTAACTCCTAGTCAAGACAAGTGATTTTTTAAAAAACCACTTAGGTGTCCACCCAACTGTGATGCATAGTTGTTTTCATAAATTCAGTCTGCATCACACAAGTAGAGTGAGTTTAAAGGCCACCCTAGCAACAACTGAGATAACACCAATTGTGTTTATTTTATGAAAAACTTCCTTTCCAGTCGGAATACTGTAACCTGATTGATTATTTTAGTGGTTGCTAGGGTGGGGCGGGGGGCTTCAAAGTCACTCTAGAAGTAGATAGGCTAAGCATCTGACTACCTGTTGATTAGACTAGAATATTATTTATTAGCTGATTTAGATCGTAGTGTTGTCTGCCAACTACATGACAAGTAGATCATATACCAAAAAAGGATACTAAGTGATTAAGAAGAGTTTTGTAAGCTCTTTTCATTGGTCGAGTACACCTGAACTATGTGAAACGGTAAAATAGTTGGTTTATCGGATTCACTTCCAACCAGCAGACTTATATTTGACTAATTATGGCTGTGTATATGTACTATTCAAAAGTTGATAGTCAGTTGAGTGAAAATTTTGTCACTCATTATTCTACTATAAAAACAATTTACCGTATACACTACAATGTTTGGATAGTTGAAATCAGTCTGCAGGAAAGTCTTAGACTCCAGTTTTTGCGCTTTTTAACAACTTCAAACGAACTGGTTTCTTGTCAAATATCTAGACTCGTATCATCAAGTTTTGCCGTCAAAGAGAGACCTTATTACAGAGAGCTATTCTCATCAGACTTTTGTCATACATTTCAACTATGAATCATCTATGAAAATCATTGAATAACTGTAACTATTCATTTTAACAATTACTGGATGTAAGTTTGGGTAGAGGTTAACTTTGAGGCGCATCTATTGTACGTTAATTAATGATACACCATCTGGTTACTAAAACGTTTGTGAGTGAAGTAGATTTTGAAGTCGAAAGTTGAAGAAACGTCATAGATCCTGGGCAAAATATCTATTGTTTAAATTCACTACCTATTATTATAATATTATCATTATTATTTTTACAATTTTAGTTCCTGACAGTCCAAGTAGTGAAGATCCAGAAATGGCTACACAACAATTTTGTATTGTCTTTCTACAACGATATTGTAGTGATGGTGTTACAATGGCTCCACCATTTTCAACATGTAGTCTTGATAATGCTTTATCACTATCAGTGGGTACTAGTCAAGTTAGTGATGTAAGTGGGTTTTTTTATTCATTCATACTATGTTGGAATATAATTTCATTGCAACAAGGTAACTAGGTAGGTAGGTGGGTAGGTATTCACATTTCAATGTTAGTTAGATGAAGCCAATTGGCAAGAAGCCGCATTTCATCTAGGTTTTGTACTTCTTGGCACTTGTCGACAAAGCATATTTGTCCTGTCTAAGATTCGAATCGATATCATTCAGTGCTGTTGTAGATTGTGAGTCTCAGAGCCTGGTGACGACATTTCAAAAATGGTTGTTGGAATTCAATCATCACTTAAGATTAGACTGGTTACCCTCAAGTGACCAATCAATGTACTCACACTACACTTCCTACTACTAATAAGCGAATATATTTAGTCATGAAAAAAACCTTTGTACATTGCTTCAATCCCATGACTCTTGTCTTATAGATGACTCTGTTACAGAGAATGTACCAAGCGTGGTCCATCTTGGCTTATGCTTTTCTTCTGATCTTTCTCGGTCCCCTCATATCTTACTGATTTCTAGGAAAATCCTTCACTTGACCTTTTATGTTAGGAAACTCAGCCTCTACTCTTACTTTTCATTAATTCCTGTGTGTTACTATACTTACTTATTGTTCCCGCTTATTCTTTTCTGGACTCCGAAAAAAGGACTACGTTGTATTGCATAGGATTTTGAAAGGTGTTAGTAGAGCAAGTAGAAGACCCCTAACCGGTTGTGGATAGGCATCTGAACTCCTGTAGACAGCTGATTGACAGTATATTATCTGATGACGAACATCTTCTGCATCTGCACCTCTCTCCGTGTATGTCTTCTGGGAAGACAGAAAGCAAATATGTTAAACTATGTGCGCGCATAACCACATACAAAAATTCAACCATACCACCCTATTCAGCTTGTGTATTGTGTGAAGAAAATCTTGTTAGACATAGTCTTATCAATCAACTGTGTAATAGCGAATAGTTATCATATCCCTGAAGTCATTCAACATTTCAATAATTCTGTTATCCGTTATTCTTCATTGTATATCGTTAAACAGAACCATTGTTATTGTTTTAAAAATGTCGTACAATGGGCAAATTGATGTAATAACACACACCGAGAATTCTGTAGTGTAAAGATAATTATGGTGGGGAATAAAGCAAATGTATTATTTATTGTTTTATTATTACTATTCAGAATTGTCCTGTGTATTATGTATGTTTCACAACCACTTTTTGCTGCTACTTAGGATGACTGATAAATATGGAGAGACGGTTTAAAGGAGCTTCATATCTAATACACATGCAAAATCATCTATCCTCAAGACGTCATTAAGTAAATAATACTGTCTCACTCACTGTCTGCTACATATCAAATAAACGAATCTGATATGGAATTGGATTCTACTACAATGCCCAAGTTTTACACTTATATCTAATACGTGTAGTCTGTGGTGTTATTTATCTGTTTTTCGTCTTGTTTCTATGTACTTAGATGTACGGATATAAGGTTCAGGAAACTGAACTCTGTTGCCCAGTAATATCACCTTCCATGTTGTTATTGGTTAACTGTAATGGATATTTATGCACAACGGTTTTCTTTATTTTTGGTAATATTTTGAGAAAACTGATAGACAGAATCAAGGTTGAACCTCGCACACGTGTGTATTGGCTGAAGTTGCCACAGTTCATAGTAGTATACAAAGGTGAATAAAGAATAATATCAAAGTGGATAAAGTTGTGCGATAGAATAAGCAAGTTGAAGATAACAGTTAATGCAAATATTCAAGCTTTGGAAGATGTCAAAGAGTGAATTCACCCGTGCCACTCCAAACGGTTTTCAGCTACTGATTCCTATTGTGTAGTGAACATCACCCAGGTGGTTTATATCTCCTTACACGGATCAGATCAACTGTGAGGGACTTCATCGACTAGTGTCACGTCTTTATCTGGCCACCCTGAATCCTCTTCCAACCTAATCCAACTTCCCCTAGTGTGTGGCACGTTGAGGTAGGAGGTGGCGCTAAAGATGATGTTAGTCAACGAATGCTAAATAGACCTTCTGTATCCACGCTGATATTTCATCAGCAACTAGCCCGTTCGATCTGATGCAACTCTTCAAGTACATGAAGTGGTTGACACATTCAGGATTTTGAGCCGAAAAACCTCACATGATCACACCAGTTGTTGGAATCATTTGTATATTACCAAAATTAAAGAACATCATTGTGTGTAAATATTCATTGCAAATGGATTTGTTATAAATTGGATTGTATAAATGTGTCATAGATAAAGCTGACTTTGAAATAATGGAGAATATTTGTAGCTCAGGTAGATGGTCTTGGTTGTATTTATGTTCTCTGAGCTGGGTTGTTTAATCGTGAAGCTTTCATCGTCTCGCTAGACGACATCATCAGCACTACCTTCAGTATGAAATGAGTTGTCAATATCTCTCCGCGAGTGATTTAGTAGCTTGCTCTGACGATGTGGTCTATGATTGGCTGTTTCCTTCGATTGTTGTGTCATTGATTGTATAGACTTCCCTGTTGGCTGCTCCTTTGCTTGACCTCTCACCTTTCTGTTGTTTATCATTTTTCTTATTGGTTGATAGACTGGGTCTATGTCTATACATCTGTTGATTGCTGACTGACCTGAATGCTAAGCTTCTAGGAATTCTCTGATATTCTTTGTGTTCCCTTTGTCCAAAATTAAAGATGTCGTCTAGAAAAATGACAACTCAGCTCAGAGAACATAATACAACCAAGACCATCTACCTGAGCTACAACTATTCTCCATCATTTCAGTAGAGACTGTTCGCGTAATTCGACTCCATTTCTGTATTCAAATAATAAGATCCTGATGATATGCAGTAAAAATTTAGGCATTTAACAGAACTATCCTAATTTTGCATTTTCTCCTTCGATGTACACATTTTACGGAGTATTAAACATACTTAGACATTCAGCGTTATACAATAAATTATTGTGTAAATTTCACCTTCAATGTTTTGTTTTGCTCTCCCCTTAAGATGTAAAGGTGTTTTTCTTACAGTGATTTTGTATTCATTAGACTGTAGAAACAGATGATGAAAGTATCTAGTTTTCTCTGTGGTCGGGTTTTTCTGTGAGACTAGGTGCTAATATACTGTGCAAGATATACGTTTTATTCATACGGTACCTTGATGAGGTCAGACAGTAATCACACATTGGCTGACATGTATATGTGCGATTACAGAGCAGGCATTACCGCTTAAATATAAATAAGCAACAGACTTATGATGACTCATGCTGAAGTAATAATAAGAATTTCAGTTTATTAGCTCGCATACTTGCTTGATTCAAAGTGGGGTGGTCCAACTTTAAAGGCCACCCTAGCAACTGATGAAACAATCAATCATATTTCTCTATTCTATGGAAAATTGTCTTCATAGTCAAAATACCGCAAAGTGATAGGTCATTTTGTGATCTGTTAGGGTAGCACTTTAAAGTCACCGTGGTTTATCTCAGGAGTTGGAGTGACTTTAAGGGTCATCCTAGCAAGAATCGAAATAACCAATTAAGTTCTTTTCATTTCGGCTAGAAACGCAGATTTTCATAAAATAAAGGAATCTAATTGGTTATTTAGCTTGTTGCTAGGGCGGCCTTTAAAGTCGCCCCACAATTTGTTAGGGTCACATTCGAAATCGGGCTACTTTAAAGACCACTCTTGCGACCACGGGATAACCAACCCGGTTCCGGCATTTCGTCTGGAAAGGCGGTTTTTCATAAAATAGAGAAGTTTAACTGGTCATCTCAGCAGTTGCTAGGGCGACCTTTAAAGTCAATCCCTAAATCACCCCTCATTTTGTTGTTGCTAGAGTGGTTTTAAGGACGCCCAACTTTAAAGGCAATCCTAACAACTGTGATACGTCTTTTCCTGCTGAAATAATGAAACCTAATTAAAGTGACTTTAAAGGCCAACCAACGCAACTGGTTTAGATAACCAATTACAGTCCTATATCCTATGAAAAACTGCCTTACTCATTCGAAATTCTGAAACTTGGTTGGTGTAGTAGTTACTGCGGTGGCTTTAAAGTCACCCCGTAATTGAAGTTTAAAGCAGACCCTAGAATCATGTTAGGTCCAAAGGCCGGGAAATGAATTCACTACAGATATCTGATTTACCCTAGATTATAAGGAGTGACTTAAAGGCCACCCTAGCGACAGTCTAAGTCACCAACCTGACTTCTGTATTTTGTAAAAATCTGCGTTTCCAGTCGGAACTAAGATACGTAATCGGTTATTTTGACTGTTGCCAAGGTAGCTTTTAGAGTTGCACCTATATAAGCCAGTGGATAAACTTATATTCGTTACAAATACATTTGGATATGTGAGATATTTGCTTAGGTAGTCAAAATGCTAAAATATTGGTTCATTGGCTTAGTCTGTCTGTTCTATGAACGGTCGTTAAGTTCAATTGACCCTAAAAGTCTAGTTCGGAAAATCATTTGATGCTAGCAAGATGGATTATGGGTGTAATATAGAACGTGTAATGAACATGTAGAGTTTATTAGTAATCCATGGGATTTCATCATTTTTGAGCGACTGTCAAAGGACTTTTAAGTGACCATTCAAGTTGAAAGTGACTCTATGGTCATTTTGGGGAACTTTAAATTATTGAAAGGATGTTTCTGATTATAAGCGAACACTAGTGCACAATTTCTACTGAATTGGAGAGAATTATCTTTCATATCGTTGTCTCACACTATTTACTTATTCCGGGTGTGCACCTGCATTTTTTTACAAAGGACACAATTTTAGGCAAGAAGGTTTAGAATAAGTTTGCATACCGTAAGACATAATCACAATCTTAGTTTTAACTCCTTAAACCCTACTAGGCTTTCAGTTGCGATCAAGTCACAAAGAAGCAAACAAACAGCTTTTAGTTGTCGCTCACGAACGGCAAAATTCTATAGTTTTACCAGTTTAAACTCAAGGAAAATGATGGCAAATATTCCCTAGTTGGGTTGTGTGTGTTCTTTCAGTGTCATTACTTTTCAAGTCTGCTTTCCTGTTCAAGGCTGTCCACAATCGTCTATACATCATCTTCAGTGTTTCTGTTTGGTCTGTTGGCCTTTATCAACCTACGCCATCTATGTCATTGGAAGGGCACTAGGTTACATAATAAGTGTCGAGTGTACTGTTCACCAGTTCCCTTTGTTCTGCTATACGCCTTTGACCATGAGCATTGAAGGTAGACAATCGGAGGAGTCTTCGGTCACCGTTACCTTCAATGGTATTGACCGTGTTTCGCTGAATCATCAGATTAATAATGTAGAATCAAGACGTAAAATATCAGAGAAAAGAGGTAAGTCATACCCTGAGGTTTTAAACCCTTTCTACCGTGTGATTGGAACATGCCTTAGTCATCACCTACTCCGATATGCAGTGTTACCCGAATTAGTTTCAGGCTGGTGACCATATTAAAATCTAGCATAAAGCCTCTGTTGTTTCGAGCAATGGAGAGAAATGTAGACTTCCAGTTAGGCTCGTGTAATGACCCAAGTAGAGAGTTGAAGATTCTAGATAATATGACTCGGAATCTGTCTCTAGCGAAAATGCAATGCACATACTATATTCACCCTTAGCGTTAGATGAGAAATTCATCATTGTTTTACTACCGATTTTCTTCTTATTACTTTCCCACAACTTCTGGTTACAACCATGAAGTAATGGTAGGTGCATTGTTGGCATTGACCGACTTTACTGACTGAAGAGGTTTTCCCTAAACAACACTTAAGATAACGCATTGTCTTCAGTTGATTGATTTTTCTAGGAAAACGCGTGTTATGATCGCAACAAAACTGTCAAAACATTAGGGTTGTAGTTGTTTTATAGTCATGAGAGACAATTGTTGATGATGTATCACCTATTGTTTATATCTAGTTATTGTTTTAGACGGAAATACACTAATCACTTGTTGTATAGTAATCAAATTTCACTGCAATTAAGTTATCATACTGATTGAAGTTTTATCGATCAAATCTTGTTTTGTGATCATACTATACAATGATTTGGTATTATAGTGTTGTGCTTGAAAGGAGTCATTAGAATGGCATAAGTCTAGTGTATGTGTTATTGATGGTGAATAGAGGAGTATGAGAAGTTCTACATATTTCGACTAAATCCATCGAAGTATAAAAGCAAACATGGTAGGTAAAGCTTACTCAAGTATACGGCAAAAGTGAACAGCGAATTCGATACTTCGGTCCATGTTCTCCGATGAATAGTTCAATATCAACTGGGAAAGTTTGCTTTGCAGAATACAAGAAGGATTGCATTTGTTTTTAGACTGTGGTTTAATTACAGAAGGAATCGACTGACAATTCGATCTTTCAAATCTCATTCATTGAAACTCTAGTTTATAAGATTAGAGAATATGTTTTAAATCACCACTTTTTAGTGTTCAGTTAGCTAGAGTCGTGGTTCCGTTATCTAGACACTCTACTGCTAACCAATGGAGTCGCTGATTTGAAACCTACTGCAACTGCTAAGGTCTCGACGACCAGGTAGTATTATTCAACTTCATACAGCAAGTGTTGTTCATTACTTACTGTACTGTACTTACTGCACCAAAGCCAACTCTATACACGGTCCTTAAGAAAAATGTACATATCACTCTATCATATAGAGGGGAGCTAAACAATATCATTTTGAGACGTAGTCTGACATCAGCCATTAAGAAAACGTATTACGCAGTGAATCTTACCATTGTGGAGAAAACAAAACATATGCTTCACCAAAAACCTAAACACTGCATCAATGATTATGTCACATCCCATTGTGTTTGCTAATTTACATGTGTGTGTGGTCACACATGGCTTCAAAAATAAATGAAGTGTGAAAACGCTGGTGGGAGACGATCCTCTCCATCTATAGCTGGACATATTGAATCAGTCCAAAAAAATAAATGTCCAAACCTCTTTCAAAGCTTTTATGCAGAAATAGTCATGGATGCATACTGAGATTTGCTGAGGTGATAGCCAGACACAACTTGAGACCACCTTTATGTGTATAAAAACAGTTTGTTCTTACACTACATCTACCTTGGTAAACTTTGTTTTCCTAACAAGATTAGGATCAATTATATCACTTCCTGTTTGTTCTCATCTTTCTTAATTCTAATCCCCTGTTGTGTTAATTGTTGTATTTATTCCCCCCCCCACTCCTCAGTTTAATATATAATGACTTGACAAGTAAAATATGTGATCAGACTGTTCGAAATGGATTGGACAAATACATCATACACATTGTTCAGATAAACTTCGTCTCCTAATTACGCTATCGAAACTTACAGATGGTTGCTGAATACGTTTCGATCTTAAGAAACAATTTCCACAATCTCTATCAATCTGATAGGTTTGAACTAGTCTATCAACTTCCAAAACTTTGAAGTAACTAATCAATTAACCTAATGATACTTTTTTTCATCAAAGTATGATACGTAAGCATAAATTTTTTTATGATACGCGCGCGTGCTGTACAATGTTTCACTAACCTACATTTATATTCTTATATCTTTTTTCTTTCATTTTCAATAGCGTAAACCATTGTTTATATACTTACACAACGATAATAGTGTAGCCTGTCATGTATTCTGTCAGCAAGTATTATGTTCACCTGGATTACTTCGATTTTTAACTGATCATGAATTTAGCCTTTGGCCATGGGATGTAACACGTGCACGTGGAAAAGAACGTCTTCTTGGTTGGCTTGAAGTTAAACTACCAAATTTATCTAGAATTATTACACCTTTATCTGTAAGTTATTGATTGTTTGTCTCGATTTAATACTTGCTTGTTTATTCTAACTCTTGCTTAGTGATGTAGTTTAACCTGTAGACATCAGGTTATGCGGCTGGAGATAGCCCTAGAGAGGAGAATACTGTCGTAAGCCTCCACAAATACACGCACACACATTCACATAAAGTGTGAATCAAAACCTATTTATGATAAAGACTTGTATGCAGTCATTATGCTGCATCAGTCTATCTTGTAAATTGTGGTGTCGCTTGTATATTATCATTCTCCCAGTAATCCACAAGACTAAGTTAAGTGTCATTCTTATGACTTACTAGACAATAACAAGGAATATGAAATTGGATTGAACAGTTGAAATGTAATTTTCCCCTACCTTAAAGCAAAATTTGTCAGTTAGGATGTATCAGTAATACTTTCGGCAGACAACTTGAGTTTCAATAACTTTCTCTCTTTAAAATGATATTTCTCCTGGTACTCTTGGTTTTCGTTTTGTCTTGATCCTGAACATAACTTGTTGGAAGTGTGTGTGAAACAAACAGATCATAAATTACAATAACATTCGTATTCCCTCTTGTGACACAAGCACACAACGAGATTTAATAACATTATTGAAAGAGAGAAATAATTATTCTATTCCTAAAGCAACTCTCCTTTGTTCAGTGGTGTGCATCGAAGAACATTTTACTAGTTGTTGTTATTAGTGTAATGATGGATAGTGGTTAGCAGTGGAATCTATAATGCGCATTTTGTCCTATTTGGGACTCGTCAGCTGGATGTACCTGCCCCTCAATGAGTGATGTTGTTCCCACCGGGATTGGACTCGGGAACGATCGCTTTAAACACCACAGCGTTTCGATTTTATTTCGAACCATTACTCACTATCTTCTCAAACAGTCTGCTAACATTATTGTCCTGACTTGGTGTTGAATTGAAAATGGCATCTCAAGAATGATATGCTTTCCCAAGCCACATCCCTGGTAGAGTCATGGGTACGCGCTGCTGAGGAATCTTATACTAGTGCTCCCAGGTTTCCAATGTTCCTCCAAATGATGTCGCTCCATGATGAATACCAACTTGGGACCAATAAAAATGCCTCACAAATCCGCCGAATTAAACTGACCTAGTACTCATTAGTAACTAGCTTCGAAAGGTGATTCCCGAAGTTCTAATGAGAAGTCGTGACCAATGCGGCAAACTTGATGACTGTAAAGACAAATTCTCAACGATGACATTGAGTAGCGGTCGTTATATGTCGCGAACTGACAGAAGTAGGAAATATGGACCATTGGACTCCTACCAATGGCTCAACGGTGACATGCTGGCCACGGGTTCGATCCATGGTGGTTTGGGTTCATGGGTCTCACTGCTGAGGAGTCCCATACTAGGGTGAAACAGTGTTAGAAAAATGTCACTTTCACCATTTTTAAATTCAAAGTAATGATTGAAGGTGAACTAAGAACAAAACATAGTTTTCGTTAGGATGTATGCCAGTAGTTTTCGGATTACCGGCTCAATGCCGTGTTGACTGAGCTACGTCTGCACAACTGCTTAGGTTATAGGGATTATTTTCCAATATGATATTTATTGGTGTTGTCACTTTGTAGCCTGATCAGTCAGTTACTATTATTATTATTTGTCCCTTGGGTTTCTGGTAGAACATAGGGCTTCAGTAACACGTCTCCAGTGCACTCTGTTTTCTGCAAACCTTTCAACCTGGTTCCACGACAGCCCAGAAGCTCTCATTTCTTCCACGCACGATCTCCTCCATATCACCCTCACTTCGGACACCCAACTCATCGTTTCCCATCTGGGTTCCACTCCATGGCCTGGCGCGTAATGTCCCCGAACGGTCTTCTCAGTTCATGCCCAATCCATCTCCACTTCCTTCTGCATATTTGTTGAGCTATAGGTTCTTGGTTTGTTCGTCGCCAGCTAGCCAGAGTTCCTTGTTGCTTATTCTTTCTGGCTATCTGGTCTTCAGTAGTGAACCAGCGTAGGCATTTGTTGATGAATATCTGTAGTTTGTTGGAAATGCCTTTCGTGATGCGCCAAGTCTCTGAGCTGTACAGGAGCACTGATTTGACGTTGGTGTTGGAAATCCGGGTCTTGTTCTGTATGCTGAGTGCAGAAGATCTCCACATTGGTTTCAGGTTAATTAACGCCTGTCTTGCTGTCTTTCCGATCCTGAATGGCTTTGACGTCCTCGTCTGTGACGCGATCAGTCAGTTGTTCCAGTGAAATAAATGTGACTGTTGCATTTACATATTCATCTCTTAGGATTGTCTAATGGATCCTTTGATTAAGGAGTTGACTTTCAACCAAGCAGATCATTGTTCTAAAACTCGTCCTCCACCTACTGAGGTCTGGGTAGCCAGGTAGTATTATTAGCAGTCACACAACAGGTACAATCCATTACTGAATGAAATGAAAAGATAGTGTTTAGGTCAGACGTCAGTGTTAACAGAAAGCCATCACACTTATATGAGTTTCACCCTCATCTTACCTTATAATCTATCAAGTAGGCTTACTGAATCGTCTAAGTAATTAAATCCAAGTTTTTGTTGTTGTCTGACTGAGTAAATCATATTGCATTACTATGTGTTGTATGTCACTGGAATTCTACGCTTACACTAAATCCTACTGTGTCTTCCACTTTTGTTTTTAACAGGTAGATAGTTATCCTATCCTTGCTATGATTGTCAAGTTATCTGGTCAATTAGAAGTGTTATGCATAGTTATGGGTACAGGAAAAGTGAAAATGTGGCCACTTGATCCATTCCCACCATTGGGTGTACATACTACTAATCCTTTAACTATACAATCAGATGATAGTTTAGCAACAGGAAGTTTAAAAGCTGATGTAATTGTTGCTGAATTATGGCAAGCGTATACAAATTATCTTGAAGTATTAGAACCAGAACGTGCAGCTGAACGTGAATTAATTGCTCGTAGGCGTGTTTTAGAAGAACAAGAAGCAGCCTATGAAGAATCACTTCGTCGAGATCAACAAAAGGTGAGATGTACTCAAGTGACTCTGTGTTCTATTGCTGAAAGGCTTTTTATTCTAGTTATAAATTTACATGCCCTGTTGCACTCGTAGAACTTAATGTCTACCTACCTTATACAAAATAAGCATGAAACTTCAATCTTGAAGTAGTGATCATCACTTGTGGATGGTCATTAATCATTGATGACTAACTTTAAGAGGTGATTCCCGAAGTTGCAATGAGAAGTCGTGACAAATCAAAAATAAGGGCAGTTACACAACGACAACATTGGGTGGAGATGGTGTTATGTCGTGTACTGATAGGACTAGGAAGTGTGAACCATCGGATTTCGACTCAGCGGCTCATTGGTAACGTGCTGGATGCGGGACCTTAAGGTCATGAGTTTGATTTCTGGCGGGGTTGTGAGATGCGTGCTGCTGAGGAGTGATACATTAAGACGAAATAGCTATCCAGTGCTCCCAGGTCTCCAATGTTCCTCACAAACTTAAAAATTGAAGAAACTGAACAATTGATCAGATTCCTAATGTTCGAGTTGTTATATACCGGAGGTTGTCACCAACTATTGTTGACATATATTGAATATTCCCACTTAGACATTAAGAAAAAGACTGGATGAGCTAAGAAATATATTCCTTATCAATTAGGTCTTCATCTTGGGCTCTACATTAATATGCATAGTCGTCTTACAATTTAATCAAATTACCAATCATGTGGTGATATTTCGGAAATAATGATGTCAATAATCAATAGAATTACTAAAATTGGAAATATGAATATTGATAGAAACAAGGGGAAGGGGAAGAGGTGTATAAAGTAATCCTAGAAGTTACATCATGTTGACGGCCACGGTAATGAAAGTGGTGGAACAAACTTCTTTTGAATACAAAGGTTAGGTTTGTTTGTAAAGGTGGATTGCAATCGCCTCTGTTATGTGAAGTAACCGAGTATGTAATCCATGAGGTAAATGAATTGGAATGTGATGGATGATTTTGAAGGTTTTTTCCAGTAACCACTTGATGTGCTGTGTCAAATAAGTGTGCAAGTATGGAGCTGTTTATGTACTTCTAATTTGTCCCTTATTCAACCCTGATGGGTAGTGCTGGGAAATTGGACGATGGAACTGCCTCATTGTACGTCTAATGTAACTAGCTTCACAGGAGCACTTGAACTGATAAATGCACATACAAGTGGTGGGATTGGGTGGTTGTAAAAGGTGGGACGCTTTATGCAAGACTCCTCTTTATGCGCTGTGTGATGATCTTTTTGGCAATGTCACTCTTGAATTTCAGCTTCAAGAAGATTTACTCCTTAGAAGCTGTTATTGTTCCTATCTTAACCGTCGTAATATTCATATGTTTAGTTACAAACTTGTCTGGGTAGCCATTTTTACTAAGCAGATCACGGATAGTAGCATACTCTTCCTTTGTAGCTTAATCTGAGCAAATAGCTATAGTGCGGTACGCTAGATATTTCACCAGGTTCCTTTTGTATTGGAAGGGATATAGCACTAAAGAAGTGCATGTACTGACCTGTGAATGTTGGCTTTCTATATATACTTCGCTTCAGGGTTCCATCTGACCTTCTTACCAACAGAACATCAAGAAATGGGATGCTATCATTTTTCTCCTTTTCCATTGTGAAGTTGATTGCCGGAAGTACACTATTGAACTTATTCAGAACAGCATTCTTATCAATCTCTTATTTGAGAACTATAAAGGTATCATCCATGTAACGACAATATAACTCTAAATGGCTAATAGTTTCGTTCAGTGGAGCATTCTCTAGTTTTGCCAGAAAAAAATCTGCTAAAAGGAAGTCAAGGGGTAACCCCATAGTTACACCATCAGACTGCCTGTAGAGCTCATTGTTCATCGTACACTGAGAATTGATCGTAGTATGATGTATAGTTTTATCCGCTTTATATTCTCTTCTTTACGTTTTATAGCGTTTCCTAGCTTCTGATAAAACTATTCATATTTTCTCGACTTCCATCTTTGGTGTATTGGTGTATGATGTGATAAGTTAATCCGTTGCTAGGTAATGTTAAGTCCAGTAAATATGTGTTTACCTGTTTGTTATATTTTTTGTTAGGAAATATAAAGAGAACGGTACTTACTAACTAGTATATTGTTCTATGACTACCACTTCTAATCAGTTTCTATCAAAGAAGGTAGATTACACTGTTGTTCAGTAAGAGACAAAGTGGTTCTGATCTTTTCTTTAATAACTACAAGCGTTTCTACCTATTTCTTGACAATACAAAGTAGAGAAAAGTGTATGAAAAAGTAGATCACTGTCAAGATGAAAGTGGTAAATAGCCTGTATACTTCATGCACATAAGACAAGTATTATTATTATTTTATTAGTCTCTTGGGTTCCTAATGGAACATAGGGCCTCAGTAGCACGTCTCCACTCTGTTCTCTGAAATCTTTTGAACCTGGCTACACGACAGCCCAAAACCTCTCATTTCCTCCTCGCACGATCTCCTCCATGTCACCCTCACCTCGGACGTCCAACTCGTCGCTTCCCACGGGGATTCCACTCGAGGGCCTGGCCTGATGCGTGATGTCCCCAGTCAGCCTTCTCAGTGTATGCCCAATACATCTCAACTTCCCTCCACTGCATATTTGTTCAGTGATAGCTTCTTGGTTGGTTCGTTAGCCGGCCAGAGCTCCTTGTTGCTTATTCTTTCTGGCTATGCCATCTGATCTTCAGTAGCGAGCCAGCGTAGGTGGCAGTTGTTGATGAATGTCTGTAGTTTATTTGAAGTCCTTTTCGTGACGCACCAAGTCTCTCAACCATACAGAAGCACTGACTTGACTGAATTGGTGTTGAAAATCCGGATGTTGTTCCACATGCTGAGTGGAGTGCAGAAGATCTCCACACTGGTTTCAGGCTAATGAACGCCTATCTTGCTTTTCCTATTCTGACTTTGACAACCTCGTCTGTGTCTGTGGCGCCTGTAGTTGAAACAGTGCTTCCTAGATAGGTGAAGGAGGTTACTTTTTTTAAGTTTCTCCCATTGATGGTGATTGGAGTTTGTTATTGTTTGTGGTGGTGGTGTTGGTTGTGTATCATCATCACCTCCACCTCTGTCTCCTCTACGTTCACTTGAGGTGCCGTCTTCACTGCCCTGCCTCGCCTCTTCTGTCAACTTGTTAGTTTTCGCCTGTAGATTTTCAAGTTTGTGTGACATCAGACACAAGTCTGTTCTTAGTGCTTCTGGCGGGATCCCATCTGGTCCCGCTGCTTTCCCACATTTCAGTAGCTTTATGGCGTTCAGGACTTCCATTTTTGTCGGAGGATTTATCTCACTTGTAGTTCAACGGCTGCAGGTGGTATTTCTGGACGAAGTGTAGGTGGTGGTGGTGGTCGATTCAAGAGCTTCTTGAAGTGATCGGCCCATTGTTTCCTTTGTTTTTCTTCTTTCGTAGTTAAATTCCCGTCATCATCTTTTATTGGTTTCATCTGTGTTGATCTCTTCCCAGATAGTAACCTGGTTATTTGATACAACGTTGTCAGGTCTCTGTCTCTACTACCTGCAGCCTGTTCCGCTTCACTTGCCAGTGTTTCGTAGAAGTGTCTTTTGTCTTTCCGTGCACTCTTCTTCACTTCTTTGTCAAGTGTAGTGTTTGATACATTTACTCAGTTCCTCTTGTCGTTGAGCATCCTTGGACTGGTTTATCTTCTGCTTCACCATCCTCAATTCCCTGCTCAATCATCACTCTCTATTGTAGATTTCGTTTTTTCTCAAATGATGATTCTAGGATCTATACGAAATTTGTCAATCATACATGCTCCAACATCTTTTTTACCAATATTCTTTTATACCATATCAGTGTCTGTAGGATTTAATTATCCTGATAAATTAGTACTAACGAGACAATATCAGAACTTGGCTGTACTTAGAACACAGAAATGATTTGGCTCACAAAATGTTATGCGTTTCTGAAGCCTAGAAAATAACACTAGTCCAGCTATAGTAGATACATGTCAATTTAGAAAGACAGAAGTTATGAGTCTGAGTATAAAAGGCGAATTATTTATCGTGGTGGCAAGTATATATAGTTCTACAATGAATTACTTGTCACCACTTTATCGTCAAGGTGTATTTTGTGACTTCTATGGAATTCATATTCTCTCAGAAATTCTAACCCTCATCACACTGACACATTGCTAAAGCTAATGACTTAACCACCCCCCTTCAGATGAAATAGATCCCGTAAAAATATCTTGTCGAAAAAAAAAATGCTTATTGAGATGTACAATTTTTCTACTTCTGTATACTGACCAGTTGTTACTAAGTTTGTATTTTTTACTTTTAAAACAAAGGAATGGGAACGTGCTAAAGCAAAAGCTGAAGAGGATAGACAAAAGAAACTTGAAGAAGAAAAGCGTATACATGATGAACTAAAAGCAACTCAACATAGATTATCAATGGCAGCTAGTTTACCACCAGAGCCACCAGTACCAAAAACACCAGCAGCTGAAGCATTTCTATCTTCACCAAAAGGTATTGCAGGTATTACAACCCTACGTTTTCGATTACCTCAAGGTGTTACTGATCTTGTTGACAATAATGATTCAACTATTAAAAATGCAACAGTTATTCGACGTTTCTCTGGTGTAGATATATTAAAACATGTTTTCAGTTTTTTGGAATCCAAAGGCTTTTCAATATCAGATTATAAACTCTTGACTACTTACCCTACTCGAGATGTAAGTGGTTGTTGTTGTTAAGTGTTTTGTTTTGTTTTCTTTTAACCTCTTAAACAAGGGTCATCTTAGAGAATTTCATTGAAAATTTATGTGTGAAATGATATATGAAACTCCATCACTTGTGAAAGTAGTACACTATCTTTATAATTAAATAGTTAATAGTAGTTAGATTGTTATTCACACAATGACTTTTTTCTTGCCTCTTCACAGTATTATAAGTGAGATCTATTTTGTAAAATCTCAATGAAGTAGAAAAATATATTTCTGACGTTCCTCAACTTCCTTGAAATCTCTTCTTCAGAGAATAAAACCTGATACAAAAAGGCTTCAGGTGTTTGATCACCGTTGCCTTCGTAATATAAGACGTATTCTGTGGTGTCACCATGTGAGTAATGCAGAAGTTAGGTGTAGAGTTTTAGGGAGAAGAGGTAAGTCAGTCGACGAGGTTGTGAACCTTCATCGACTGAGATGGTTGGGACACGTACTACGTATGCCTAGTCACCGATTGCCTCGTCACACAATGTTGGCTGAGGTGGGTCCAGGCTGGAAGAAGCCCGAGGTGGCCAGACTAAAACACGACACCAATGTATGAAGTCTCTGACTGTTGGTTTAAGCCATGTAGGACGATGCAGACTAGGTGGTTGGGGTACACGGGACAAGAGGAACCAGTGGTTAGAGACCCTAGGTGATATGGCTGAGAACCGAAGTCAGTGGTGCAGATGTATACACACATTATCCTCATGTTAACGAAGCTATACCGAATCTCACTATTTTGTCACTCCTCTTTCCTTTCTTCTCGTACATTATATTTCTTTTGACTGCATTCACTTATCTTCATCCTTCGCCTGACTACCTTTTTACTTGATGTATTGATATGAGGTGTGGCAAGTTGGACCGTTAGGCAGTAATGCCTGGTCCTATGTTGATAATGATGATGATGAATAAAACCTGTAGAAGTTATTGATTGTTTAAATAGTAAATAGTGACGAATCAGATCACACTGCCTACACACCATAATAATAATAATAATAATAATATGGGCATAAATATCTTTGCTACCCATTAATTAGCGTAGAAATCAAGGAGATATGAATATGTATACATGTGATAGGGTATGAATGTGTAAGAACAATACTATGAGTGACAAACTCGGTTTGTATGTGTGTGGCTTTTGGATTAACAAAGTAGTTCTACAATTCTGCCAAGGTACAAAACTGAAGAGTTACAAAGAATCTGAAGAAAGCACAAAATTAGAACCTTTTTTTACAAGACAACCAACACACTTAGGAATGCTCTAATTCATGTAAAAAATGAAATTCTTTTTACTTCTACACAAAATTGTGTCTACTAAATTAGACGATTGTCGATTGTGATGCCTATTATATTGTAGAATCATCTTGGGAGATTCTTATTCGGCCTAAAAAGCATTCAAGTTATACTAAACAACCGCTAAATAATTCTGTAGAACTAGAGAGGATTTTACAAATCAAGTCGACAATCGCGATTTATGCCATCATCTATCACAGTCATAAAATTGTTATTGAAAAAGATTTTTCAAAGTACAAAGAAAAAAAAAGAATAGCTGAAGTTTTTCGCATCATGTTCAATCCTAATGCACTAAGTCAACACAGAAAAGGGAAGGTTTAGCTATCCAACCAGCTTGGACAGTATTTCCAGAAGCAACACATCATATACGGTGATCAGAACAAAAGTACATATATACAAACAAACCGAATTTATCATCCATAGTATGTTTCTTACACATTCATACCCAGTCATATGTATACATATTCACATCACCTTGAACTCTAGGCTAACTAATAGATAACAAAGAGAAGTTTGAACGTTTCCTAATCAACATAACAATCACATGGTCTGACATTTATGTTCATATTATTATCATCATATACAGACAATGTGGTCTGATTCGTTACCGTTTACTATTTCAATAATCGATAATTTCTACAGGTTTTGTTCTCTGAAGAAGCAATTCCTATGAAGTCGTGAAATGTCAAAAATTTATTTTTCTATTTCATGGGGATTTTACAAAATATATTTCAGCTATAATCTGGGCCCTTGAGTCGAACCTAAAGGGGAAATGACGAGTTGGGCACCCGAAGTGAGGGAGAAATGAAAGCTTATGGGCAATTGTGGAGTCAGATTAGAAAGACTGCAAAGAAGAGGGTGAAATTGGGACGTGCTACTGAAGCCCTATGTTCCACTAGGAACCCAAGGAACAAATAATGATAATAATCCAATGCCCACTTATTCAACTCGATTAGGTCCAACTTTTATCCTGAAGTTAGCAAAACTATTCATAGTTTATTCAAATGATGTTATGCATTCAGTAGATGAACAGAGTAGCAGTGGTAGCAGAATTAACATGCAAGTGTTTCATGGATTCTCCACTATCAGCTACTTCACCTCTTAAAGAATACAATGTTTATCATAACACACAAGGTTTTCCATTTTACATTCATTGATCGGTGAGAATGTTTTAATTGGGATGGAGGATATCAAATGGTGTAGACTGATCGATATTGATGAATTTATCAAAACTATTCGAAGATTATTGGTGTTAATAATAACAGTATTAAAGGCGTAGATGCGATCTGCGTCGTCTTAATCTAATTAGGATTCTCCAGTGAGATAACCAGTCCCTGTAAAGTGGGACAATGAAAGGGAGACCTCCATGTTATGTCTATGACACATTTCATGTGATAGCTCACCACTGACTCTGACGTCTCATATGTGTCCGATTACAGAGCTTCCAAGAGAGTAAAGTACTCACTCGGCCCCCCTTTCCAGTGAGAAACTGCCGTAAAATATCTCAATCGGGTCTATAAACACAGCTACCCTCAGGCGTTGGTATGTTTGCCTGTGTTCTATAACCTGGTGGAGAGCGAATATCTGATCGATTTATCCACGAATGCATCTGAAACCTGCCTGGTAAAGTTGAGTAAGAGTATAGACATCCTTAATGGACACCGCTGGACGTGCAGAACTCTCCTGATATCACGACTACGTCGTACCTGTTATTTTATTTGATTGTAAACCTACAACAGCGAAGTTAGGTAGGACATGTATTGCACACACTAGCCCACCATCGTCTCTAACGTTTGACTTTTGAATGTCAGCAGAACTAAGTTGAATATCTTCATCAATTTAACAATCATTGATTGTCAGCTTAAGCTAGGTAGGAGCGTGTGGGTTTTCTGGCTGTGAGGTTCATAAGATATTTTGAAGTACCGGTTAAAAAGACCTGATAGGGTTGGGCACGATTTACAGCTTAATCACAATCATTTTTTACTTCTTTTAGATCCTGTGGATACTTTTCAAGTTTATTTTCTGTGTTCGCTCTTTTTTGTTCATTTCCTTCTTTGGCTTTTATTTTTCAGTAGCTACTTTTTTTTGATGTGTACTACTGTTGGAAAGTGTAGCAGTTTTGACGAATGCCTATGTATTCAGTGTTCTACACTGTTTTGTTAGTCAGTCACTCAGTCGGTATTTTTGTTTACTGATAAGATTTTGTTAGTTTAGATCATGTGAAATTGTTATCTTAAAAGTTGTGTTTGTGCTATGACCGGTAGTACGATTTAACAGTCTACGAGCCTAGCAGACTACAAACGATATGAACCTAACGCTCAGACGAATCAACTCTAATGCAAATCAGAATGTCAACCACCAGCAGAACAATACCACCTACCGGTGAAGACAGACCATTGACAGAGAACTTTTTACTGCCTCTACAGCAGTCAGTACAGTGAACAGCGATGCTGATTATATACACTTCTAAATGACTTTGACAACTCTAAATCCACATATGGGTAAAAATAGTTAACAACCAGTGAGATTCCAGCCATGAGAGCAGAGAGAAGAAAAACTAGTAAGGGTATGAAAACAGCCGTATAGGTTATTTTAAGGCCATGTGCAAAGCAGTCGGCAAAAGCTGTGCTAAATTAGATTAACTTTAAAGGTCACCCTTACAGCTGCTGAGAAGTTAGTTTCTCATAAAATAGAGGAGCGTGATTGATTATCTCAACAGTTGCTGGGGTGACCTTTAAAGGTACCCACAAGATTAGGGGGTACATATCAGTTTGTTTGTTTTTTGTCACCGAATTAAAATATCCTATCTGATATTTACTGACTAATGTCGTTTCTTTTATTTTTGTGTATTTCAGTTAACTTTAATGGATGAGAATATGACATTGGCTGACTTGAAACTTGTCCCACAAGAGACTCTTACACTTGAATTACGCTAATTTATGTTTTATGTCTTTCGCTAAACCATTCTTCTTATTTTCCTCAGTGTGTGTAATCAATCATTTTGACAATTTGTCCAGAGTCTGATTATTAAACATACCACATATACAATGAAAATTGTACATCGCACAAACGCCCACTCCTCTGTCTGTTTTTCAAAACTTTGAGGCTCTCTCCCTCTCTCTGTCTGTCTGTCTCTCTACCTTCGCTGCACCCTATTCTACTGTGCTCTGTATATGTACATTATGAAAATGCAGTTTCTTCCATTCCTGCACACCTGAAATCCGAGCAAATGGAAGGCATGTCATACACATATTTATACTTATTTATTTATTACTATGACACTGTTTTCGATTAATTTAACTGGAAATTAGTCAACAGTCATTTAAGAACAATTATATCCACTTTATTCCTCTCTTTTCCCCTCTCTTTTATCTTCGTTTCTTGTTTTCTCATTGTGTGTGTGTATGTGTGTTTGTGAGTGTGTATCTGTTCCGATGCACAGATTTAAGTTATCCTCTTTTTTGTTATTCATACTCTCTGTCTTGCCCCACCTCTAAACTCTGCTCCCTCATTTTTGAGAATGTATGATGAAGGTGAGTGATATTATCAGATCGTCTCCTTACATTTTTCGTTATTGTTTTTCTTTTTTTGCTCAAACTCTTTTCATGTAGTATAAAATCAATACTTCAACTATTCCCCTACTTTTTTTTTCTTTTGAAGTTTGTTTCTGGCCTTTTTCTACACCTTAGTATCAGAGAAGATTGATGTGCTCAAATTGTCCGTGTCATAATCCATGTGAAGTTATGTACATGATTATGTTGATCGGTTGTTATTATGTAATAACTTGACTAACGTTCAGCCCTTCTTTCTATGTTGATGTTAATCTTCAGCAGGGAAATTGGGGTTTGATTTTGTGTTTCTTTATCCACCCACCCCAGTCACACATACACACACCATCTTGAGTGATTAAACTATACACGGGTTACTTTTTTTCCAGGTGGTATTTTGTTTGTTCTTCATTACTTTAGTCTACTGTCCATACACTAACACGTAGGAAGATATTGCTGATGATGTCGTCTAGAAAGACGATGAAAGCTTCACGATTAAACAACCCAGCTCAGAGAACACAATACAACCAAGACTATCCACCTGAAGGTACAAATATTCCCCACTATTTCAATATCATTTCGTTCCTCAACCCTTTTGTCTGCTTAGAGAAGCTTATATGAAGATAGATTTGAAATGGGAAGTCCTGACTAGACGGCCAACGTGAGTACGACCATGCGATAGTAACATGTCACGAATTCACATAGTAGTCGAGCAAAACCCTCGGTTATTGAAGGGTAATAAAAGTCTAGTTAGTAGTAATTGGATCTTGTAGCTTAGCTGGTATAGCATTTGGCTGGAAATGTGGGGACCGCTGGTTTAAATCTTATAACGACCCAAATTTTCATTTCACCTTCAATCATCATCCAGTATCAAGACAAGTCTGCCAAACCTCGGGAAAATGAATAAATGTACAAGAGCATGTATTGCGCGGGGACTTAACGTCATTTGATTAGGTACAGTTTACTTAAGTTGTATATTCTAACACATAGCAAGACGATATTATTGTACTTGGAATTGAAATTCCCTATAAGATGTCGGCTTACGTTAGAATGGTTGGGTGTTTATACGAAGAAAGGATTTGATCAGTCAGTGAACTATCTAATTATGAGTATTACTTATGCAGGGTAATAGATTTACAATCAACATCTTTAGAGTTTTCTCAAGATGATTATTAATGGAAGAGTTGAAGGAAGAATGATGAACTCAGGTGACTGCAGAACAACTTTGAAATAATAGAGAGGGATTACTGTATATCCATGCTTCACTTGAAGTATTTTGCATAGGGCTTCATGAATTCAGCTAACTTCTAAGTATACTTCTTTCTTACAGACAGCTTCAAAGCACGTTCCTGTCCACTACTTCAAAGATAGCGCTTTATTATTTCACTAGGTCCATCTCATCAAGTGGTATGATGTCACCCAATATTCATGCATTACATCAGTAACACCGATTTTCGAAATTCTCCATCTATGCATTAAATAACTAGCGGGATCACAGAAAGCCAGGTTTTACCAAATGAATCTTTAAATGATGAAATATTGCTATTGGGCCCCTAAAAACAAAAGAGGTTTCAGCGAAGATAATTATCGTCACAAAAATTCATTCCTACAACCATACATTCGTAAATGTGTCAGTAAAATGATAGAATATTTCAGACCAGCTTCCTGTCACACGTCAAACTTTATCAATAGATGTATGTAAAGAGTGACATGGTATTACGTAACACAAGACACAATCTCAATAGACTTTGTAAAATCCAGTGAACAGTAAGATTCAGTATCCGATAGAAGCAAATAAATAAACACGTAATAAAATACAAAAATGAAACACCAACAGAATTGCATAGTACCTGATAAGGGTCACATTGAAGAAGGTGTTTGTACATGTTTCTTTTGGATTCACAGTTTATGTTTGAAGCTATGAGTTGCCAGAGTTTCGACTGGACAAACGGATTTAATCCTCGCCTATGTTGAACTTTGTACAAGGTTTCTAGTGAAGCGTGATGTCTAGAGTTTCGGAGATGTTCAACGATGTAGTTGGAGGTATTTCTGTATTTATCCTTCAGCAACCAGACTGGATAGTGCTCATGAACATCTCTTTTAAGTGAGCACATAAAAGCAACTCTATAAAGTACTGAGAGAAATGAACTGTGAGTCATTCTTTAGCAATGATCTCTATGAACAGCTTCACACATTTGGTACTATTACTCCACGTTTGTATGACTTACCAAAAGTATAATATTGAACATGATAAACTTTCCATTTTATAAAATTGCAAAATGCCTTGTGAAAATTTTTTGAACCTGTGAAGAAATAGCTCCTGAAACATAATGTTTCTGATACATTCGAGTTTACTGACTCACAATATTAATCTGTCCAGAAGAAGAGTGTTTTCACTAGACTTCATGTCACCGTTCACAAACGTACAGCAAACAGAAACAATCTATTTCTTGTCCAACTTCATCCAATCCAGTAATCTAGATGGCTTCCGAAACCATTAACTGAAATAACCTTTTCTAAGATGTACGTATAATATTCCGTTTAGATTTAATAAGAAAATTTACAGACAATTTGATGGTGTAGCAATGGGATCGACTCTTAACCCTCTACTTCATGGCTAGTCTTTAAAAATAGTACATTGCTCCTAACAATCTGTTTACTTCATGTATACAAAAGGTGTTTGGATGATATCTTCACTGTTTGTAATAACAAACTAAACTCGACATGTCTTCTTCAAAATTTCAACGACATCCACCCTTCAATCAAATTTACACTAGAAGCTGAATCAAACTTGACATTTTATATTCTTGATATGCAACTGCAAAGAAGGCTCGATAAACTTATTCAAATATCCATGTAGGAAAAGTTCACTTAGGATGACCAATCTTTGTAAACGTTTATCAAAGTTCCTAAGTAGAACAATCAGTGCTGCACATACTGTTTATTCATGTCCACAGCTGGTTCATCAGTGAATGAAAGATGGAATGAGTTTAATCAATGTGTATTTACAAGTCCACTTGTTGCTGTGAAGCTGATCTCGTCTGCCGCAATATGCCTTCGCTTGAGAAACGCGTTCGTGAATATTACCTAGGCTGGTTATTAAAGGATAAATACAGAAATACCTCCAACTACATCGTTGAACATCTCCGAAACTCTAGACATCACGCTTCACTAGAAACCTTGTACAAAGTTCAACATAGGCGAGGATTAAATCCGTTTGTCCAGTCGAAACTCTGGCAACTCATAGCTTCAAACATAAACTGTGAATCCAAAAGAAACATGTACAAACACCTTCTTCAATGTGACCCTTATCAGGTACTATGCAATTCTGTTGGTGTTTCATTTTTGTATTTTATTACGTGTTTATTTATTTGCTTCTATCGGATACTGAATCTTACTGTTCACTGGATTTTACAAAGTCTATTGAGATTGTGTCTTGTGTTACGTAATACCATGTCACTCTTTACATACATCTATTGATAAAGTTTGACGTGTGACAGGAAGCTGGTCTGAAATATTCTATCATTTTACTGACACATTTACGAATGTATGGTTGTAGGAATGAATTTTTGTGACGATAATTATCTTCGTTGAAACCTCTTGTTTGCTTTTCTAACTGGATCTTCTTTAGCATCAGATTTCGGAGTAGATAACTTTTTTTATAGGACCCTAGGATTATCATAGAGCCTACTTTCTCTAATTAGCTGGTAGAAAGTTCATTTACAACATTACATTAAGACTTTTTTGGTGAGATATAACATATTTCGTAATGAATCATTTCAAGTGCCTCAAATGAACCTATTTTTACCCCAATATTCACTACAGTCCTAGCATTGAAACTAGTATATTTGGCTGTTGGATATCACTTTGAATGACAGCTTTTATCGAAGCTATTTTCGATGGTTCAAAGATGTACTAGCAGACCATACGTGTAAACAATCCTAAGCATTTCAGTGAAATATATCAAAAAAAAACTATTCGACGACAGTGCTTTTGTAAATATCTCAATGAAATAAGTCATTGAATATATCGTTTGTGGTGCGATAGGCTTGTTTGGTTTCTGGGAATTTATCAATTTATTTCTAAATCTTCACTGTGGAATATTGTATCATGAATAATGTGAAGTTGAAGAGATGGCTATGGTCTTAAAGCCAAAGCGAATGGCTGTCATGTGGAACCATCCACCAAGACCCTGAATCCATAAGGCTCTGTAACAATAGCAAGTGTTAGTATGATTGTTTTTATATGATACTGTCGTTTATTGGACCGAATTGATCGGTATCTATTGGTCTATTGGCTCCTGTGCTGTTGCCTGCGTTCTAATTATATTACTGATGGATCGTGGCTAGCAGTGGAATCCATCACTAATATAATGGCAAGTGTTGCTT